CGATTATTATGGACATGTAGTTGCGTTTGTGTTTACATAATTATGGCTCCTATTTGTGTGTGTTTGTATTCCGTTTAGATGCCGCTATGCCAGATGAAGCCACAGTGGAGCTGTTCTTTGAGAGACTTCTGGTCAGTCATAGTCTTCTGCATGTTCCTATTCATATTATGCTGTGGTTAACACTGTAAGCAAAAATAGCCATGTATCGCAATATTTACTGTTATCAACACTGTTTAAAATTAATAGTGTTTGTACACAAATGGTTTGCTCCCCACACCGGAGCTCGCGCTATTCCGCCGACTTTACTTGACATTTCTTACAAATCATCGCCGAAGTCGCAACCACTACTTCGTAGTGTTTATACACGTGAAAGGAATGAATATGGGTATGATGCAGAGGACACTGGATCATTTTCTTTGCGTGAATCTCACTCATCGTTGCATACACTATGCAGTGAGTATCGTTCCAGCTTTCAGCACTACATTCCAACATGTATGCCTAGTTGGAGTTGTACAGGTTGTACATGACTGAAAAAAAGGACAAAACAAAAATGTCGGTTTGTTCACCGACATGCCGATGATGGATACAACATATTATTATTCAGTTGAATACTGTAATGCGTATGTCTGTGCAAATGTAGTATGGCTCGATGTATTTCTTTGCACGCAGGAGAGAATCAACGTCACTCCAGAGAAGGCAGCAGAGCTCAAGAATCAGCCAGTGGAGAGAAAATGGCGCATGATACGCAGCAGAGTGAGTGCGACAAAATGGCAGTGCATTTTCGTGAACCTACATGTATCTTGTTATTATCATTGGAGATGGGAGAGGAAAGGTACATGTACATGTAGGTGCTGTTTGCACGAGTACAAAGAAGAAATACCGGTACTAAACATGACCACGTGATGGCCCATGATAATTATGGTGGCAAGATCATCTGGCTATGGAGCGCTGTGCGAGCAGTGCAAGTCATCTACTACATGTGCTTCAGTGAAGGCATGTGCATGTACAGCGTTCGTGGATTTCAGGAGACACGCAATAGGAGTATCATAATGATCTTTAAAGAGTAATAAGTATACAATGTACATACATGTACGCAGGTCATGTTTTTGCCGGAAGTATCCCTGTGAGCCAAGATATTGAACGTGGTTTTTGTAGTGTATAGATACTATAGTACATAGTGTCGTCAGGCCAAACACAACAGTGTTTAATAGTGTGGGCAGATTCTCCTCTAGCCCAGGCAACTGCACACTGAATGGTTGTAAAACCGTAGTGCCAGCTGCATGCCAGCTACAGCATGGGGGCGATCACCAGTATAATGCCAGTAATGGGCCTGTTACCCTGTGTCAGCTTCGTTGCCGTCGTAGGAGTTGCAGGTCGGAGAGCCTGGGATACTCAGTTGTAGATTCCAGTCTGAGACCAAACATGAGGAATGAAGAACAATACGACGCTGGTATACCCCCGTTTACAATAGCATGGAGGGGGGGGGGAGAGATCGGGAAACAGTAATCATCACATGACTCATCAAGCACGTATGGTCCACAGACAGCACCGTACTGTCCGTAGCCTGCCTAGCACCACTGGCAGATTCAAACAGTAACTACATTCACGGTACATGCTTTACAAGTCACATTTCGCCAAGTTGATGAGCCATAGCAAAACTCCTTAGAACCATCGGTTGTGCTGGGTGTGATAAACGCCTTATGGCTGCCGGAAAACTCAAAAGCTATAATTCTAACGTCCTTTCTGCTCGACTACTAAGTACTATCCCTGCTGCGAAGAGACTCAGTGTTACATCAGGGTCTGCGTTGTGAGCATGTAAGCCACAACGAAGTGGGACCCAGACATGTTCCCGGTAGCAATTACCATGCCCGTGGAGAGCAATGCTTTAAGTTGTTCGTGGTCAGCTCTCTCTCTCTTCCTTCTTGTAGTGGTCGCACAGATATCGGCGGATATCGACGATCAGAAGGGAAATTGCATTCCTTTCCAGTTCCTGTCCCATCAGTAGACCTTGACTTGTCCATAGTAGGCCAGTACTACTACTAGTACTACAAGTGCACGCATGCGCAATGATCTATTTGTGGTCATCCCCGTGTTGTGGTGATATCCCCGTGTTGTGGTGATATTCCCGTGTTGTGGTGATATCCCCGTGTTGTGGTGATATCCCCGTGTTGTGGTGATACCTTTCAACATATGCACAGGATACGTCATGATTGTAGTCTTGTGCTAGGCATGTGTACTGACAAGACACGCCACGAGTGAAATGTGACCATTTCTGAGCCATTGCTCTGCATCAAGACCTCATCTCCCGCGTGTATGAGAAAGAGGAATGCAGGCGAGAAAGACATTGGAGAAGAAAAAAAGGAGAGTTACAAAAGCAAGGACCATATCTGGTAAAGGTGTCGCATTAGTATGCATGCTACAAGAGAAAGAGAGCGAGAGAAGAGAGGAGAAGAGAAGAGAGGAGGGAGGGAGAGAGAGAGAGAGAGAGAGAGAGAGAGAGAGAGAGAGAGAGAGAGAGAGAGAGAGAGAGAGAGAGAGAGAGAGAGAGAGAGAGAGAGAGTGAGTGAGTGAGTGAGAGATGGTGTGAGTGAGTGAGAAAGGGTGTGATAGAGAGATAGAGAGATAGAGAGAAAGAGAAGAGGGTCGTATCTCTCTGTTTTATAATTGTCACGAGTTACATTAGAAAGTATAGCATTGTAGTTTCATACCCGACCTACATTGTATCTGGTCTCTGCATCGTGTGATATTAAGCGATGTGCGCTCATGGTCGAGGCACCTACACATCGAGTTGCCGTGGTAATGCGTCTGCATGTAGTTAGGGGTGGATATCTGGAATGGCTACAAAGGATTCTCCTCGCGTGACGATCAATTAATATTCTAAAACCGTGCGAGACTTGGTGTCGAAGGTAATTCGGGCAATGCCACCGCTACTCAGACTCTCCTTTATTGTACAGGTGTCAGTGTAGTGCATGTCCGTGTATTGTATAGTTGTTATGTACAATCATGTTACAGCATATGCTCCAGTCGTTGGCTGCCCCAGTATAGACTAATGATCCGTACCTGCCAAGGTTAGGCCTGCGGGTGGTGAATAGTTAAGATGGCAAAGCAAACATGCCATGGTACAGCGAGAAGGCAAGAACATGCGCCGAGCAAGGGTAGGGAATAAGCCCTTTTGAGGTCTGCCATTTGGGAATGATGTTCGAAACCGCTCATCTGATAACCCGTCGATGAAATAGCCAGGTATGGACATTCTGGCCCAAAGACATGGTATCCATTGCTGCTGCGGATAAGTACATGTAGTGCCAAATCTGCATCATAGTAGGCGGAGTGTGGTTGGTTCTCTGGTACCAGAACACTGTAGTCACGTATGTGAACATTCAGTCATGATGTGAAGGGAATGATACAATAATTTTACTGTAATAAGTACTGGTGATGATCCCGCTGTCACTGTTATGTTGTTAAGCACTTTGTGTTCAGGAACATAACATTACATTATACAGTCGGAAAATTGATCCTATCTGACCGATTATTTCAGCTGCAGACAACCTAGATTATAGGCGCAGAGAGCTACATGTACAACACTGCTTATAATGCGTGCGGGAGTGTGTGTGGTGTGTGTGTGTGTGTGTGTGTGTGTGTGTGTGTGTGTGTGTGTGTGTGTGTGTGTGTGTGTATGTGTGTGTGGTGTGTGTGTCACAAGTTTGTGTACGTCGCTGCTAGAGTAGAGGGAAGATACTCCTGTAGGATGGTAGAACCTGCACTCATCACACACAACGACAAGCTGCCATTGTGACAAACACGCACACACACACACGCACACACACGCACACACACACGCACACACACACGCGCACATACACGCGCACATACATACATATACACGCATCATAATCATCTGACAAACAGGTCTTTGCATGCTTAGATGGGGTTCGTCAGAAGCTGCTCAGTCAATGCAGATCTAGCAGGTGTGGGCCTCAGACGGACTAGTCTTCGTCTTGCTTAGTAGTAATAATTGGCAGGTGGCATCTGGCTGCGCGGCCACGTGTCATGTACTATATCAGTTTGATATTAACATCTGCAACCTGCGAAAGTTGATCCAGACGTAAATTCACGTCTCCTCCATGCGGCATGCTGGACGTACAAACGTGGCCTGACGCGGCTCTACATCAGTCAGATGAATATTGCATGTCTGACGACGGAAAACACCATCACACAAGAACTGCAGCATGTGTATCGATAGATTGGTTCGCATTAGTCTGACACACATACAGCGATACGAGGAAGTGCGCATCGTGTTTTGGTCACGGCGAACAAATACGACATGCCAATGTTTTATTAAACAACAGGCAGCAAAATATGTACTGATTCGTGCACTGCATTAGATCGTGTTGAAATAATGACTGAGCTCGTCGGTTCTGGACGATATCACCGTAGGTATTGCTGTTCAACGTGCAGTGGTAGAGGGGGGGGGGGACAGGGGGAGGAGGAGGGGGGGGACAGGGGGAGGAGGAGGAGGGGGGGGACAGGGGGAGGAGGAGGAGGGGGGGGGACAGGGGGAGGAGGAGGAGGGGGGGGGACAGGGGGAGGAGGAGGAGGGGGGGGACAGGGGGAGGAGGAGGAGGGGGGGGACAGGGGGAGGAGGAGGAGGGGGGGGGACAGGAGGAGGAGGAGGAGGGGGGGGGACAGGGGGAGGAGGAGGAGGGGGGGGGGACAGGGGGAGGAGGAGGAGGGGGGGGACAGGGGGAGGAGGAGGAGGGGGGGGGGGGACAGGGGGTTGTTGGAACTTCACTTACAGTAGTACCACTACCTGTGCTGCAGAACATAATAATGGACTGAGCGGCGGCAGTGGTAAACGAGAGGAATGGCTTCATTCCACTGTCTCCCCCAGGCCCTAGTCGTGGTAAGCAGTCTGTATTCATACATGCAGACCAAACACGTCCTCTTCCTCACCACAACCATAGTGCACACTACTACGGCATTCAATGATCTACAATAATTATCGTTGATGCAGGTGCTGCTGTGATGTCACTAGCCTGGATGGCCGAGATGATGACTGATGCCTGGGATGGCTAAAGGGAGAGTTGGCGTGAGCGCGGCCCCGACCGCCAGCCGGATTCATGGCTGAAGAGTTTGACCGCCATGTTTTCATTAGCGCCAGTGCGAGCAGAGAAGCTGATGCTAGTGCCAGTAGTGCAGTAGTGCAGCGGTGGCGTGTGCAGGACAGCTCGCCGTGGATGGGCTACATGCAGGTCGCTGTCAGCGCTACGTGACGACAAGGAAATGGCCAAGCAACCGCCTTCCTATAGGTCTGATTGCCGGGCCAGGGCCCACCAGCATGGCCAAGCTCGGTTTGAGCCGAACGACAAGGATGCACACCCGTTTCTCTCTCACAGCCGATGATGGCGAGAACCCATTACATGTACTTGACTTCAGCTGAGAAAGAAGGAAAGACGACTCGTTGAGCTGCGAGTTGCAACATTAAAGATCAACTTCCTTCCTCAGCTTCCTTCCCCTCCACCCACCAAGCTAATGGGTTTCAGCAGATGAAAAGAAGTATCTGCCCCATTTTACCTGAAGCGGCTGGGAAAAATTATGCTGTAGACATTTATATTTTTGCATCGCCGGCAGAAGAAGGAGAGAAAGACGACGGTAGATGGTGCTTTCAGCCGCATTTCAAACTGGCTGAGTGAGATTTGAGACCCTGAGAGAGAGAGAGAGAGATGAAGCGACACAAAATTGCCAATGGAAAAATGGCTGCGCAGAGTGCGCTGTCGTTGCTGCTGCCACTGCTGATGGTGATGCTGTGCGGAGTTGTCCAAGTCGAAGCTCAAAGAAAACCTCCTGTAATGGGTAAGATCCTGTAGAGAGAGTACACCATCGTAGAAGTGACATTGTATCCATCCATGACATTCCCTACTGTTGACAAGCGATAGTCTGCATGACCTAGCTTTTCTTAGTTAGAGGACCTTTTGCCGTATTATTACACCTGTGCACGGCCTGCTGTGTTCCGCTTTGCAGTCGATAGGAAGTGATATAGAGACACAGGAATCACACACATTGCACTGCATCGCTGATAGCTGTGTCCAAGATTGACTGCATGTAGATCCCTACAAATGCTTTACGGATATCCTGGAATATCACATTCTTTCCAGCAGGAGATCACTCAACAGGCCTAGAGCATATGGGAAGTCCAGACTCACAGCGAACACAAAATACTATAGCTTTAGCCTTGACATGCAATAATAATTATTATCATCATGTATTGTGTGCTGATGATTTGTTACATGCAGCTCAAGGTCCTTCTGAAGCCCCAACACCACAGCCTTTCCCGGATGGAGTGATGGGTGGTGGCATGCCCAGTGTAGGCAACCATAGACAGGATCAACAGAAGGCCTTTCCGATGCCAAAGATGCCAAACGTCACATACTACTTTGTGTTTGCACAGCTCTGGCCAAACGGGTATTGTATGGCGGCGATTAAAGATAACTGCCACCAGCTGCCGCTTCACTTCCCTGAGAACATGTGGACAGTTCGTGGATTGTGGGTGGCAATGTCCAAGTCGAGTAAACACATTCGCTATTGCAAGAGTAGCGCTGAGGCGATGAAAACACCTCCAACAGCAAGCCTACCACAACCGCAGCAGAAAAATCCTCTACTCATGCAACACCATCTGAGTGATCAGCCACACATATCCAGCCAAATGGCAATAGACCTGGATAGGATATGGCCACCACTGGAGGCTGGACCGGTGCCAGCTAATCGCTGGGTGCAGGAATACAAGACGTATGGTGTCTGCACAGGTTTGGGCGAAGACGGCTACTTTGGCATGATCCTGAACCTTCATCAGCAGTTCAGTATGTATAACATCCTAGCCAGTGCCAGTGTAGTGCCAGATGACATCTACACGTACAGAGCATCCACTCTGAAGAATGCGATCCGCAAAGTGCACGGATTTGAGTGCGAACTGCTCTGCAGAAGAAGGCGTCTGTCGGCCAATGGACGCTTTGCCTACGTTAACATCCTGCAGGAAATACATTTCTGCTTCAACGTGAACCTGGAGCCCATAGATTGTCCATCCAGAAATAGCACCATCAATCAAATCAACATCCTTCATGATCGGCCGTTTATATGCGCATTTGATGTTCTATATCCCAAATTCCCAAGTGGCGTCCATGATATGAAAGATAAAACTGTAGGTCAGCCGCAGCAGGTGATGAACCCGCCCGGTCCAGGCCCATCGCCGCAGGTGCACTACCCAGTCCAGACCATAGCATATCCGGTTGCTGGCGCTGCTGGCTTGCCACCAGTACTGGATCACCAACCGGTGCAAGGTGCCGCACCACAGCAAGTCGACTCGTACATCTATGTAGTGAATCCCGGAGCTGCAGCACCACCATCCACGGGTGCAGGTGCCAGCGTGGTGCAAGTAAGCCCTGACTACGGACAGCAGCAACACCAGCAGCCTCCGAGTAGAGTTTCCAGTGGTGGAATATTTGACGCGTCACCTGGTTATGGTCCCCATGGTGGTGGTGGCGGCGGTGGCGGTGGTGGCGGCGGAGGCGGTGGTGGCTATGGTCAAACGGTCGATGCTCATCCACGGAACTATGCTGGTCATGCTCCTGGGGCCATTGATCCAGGTTTGCCAAACCCAGGTGGATATGGCTCTCGAGGCGGTGGTACCACAGGTGGTGGTCCTTATGGTAATCAGGGCAATGGATATGGAACAGGTGGTGGTGGTGGTGGTGGTGGTGGTGGTGGTGGTGGAGGCGGTGGTGGTGGTCACCAGGGTAGTCAACGAGGATCACCATTCGGATCGCCAGCTGGATCGCCAGCCAGCGCATACGGTAGACACGTGCGCGTTGACCCGGGCGCACAATTTGGTACCTTTCGCATCAGTCCGCAAGCACCTCCTGGTACACTGCAACACGCACAGGCCTTAGTAGCTGCACACCTCCTAGCAGCTGCAGCTCCAGGCTCGCGCCTTGGTCATGGGCCCCGGCCAGCTGGACCCGGCCACTCTGAACGCACACATGCACCCGACCAGGTTATCGACGTTGATGCGCACTATGGGGGAGAAGCCGCTAATCCTGCCGCAAAGGATCCTAAGACAGCGAGCACTCCAGGACACCACGTCGGTGTGCCAAGTAGGCAGCCAAGACAAGATCCCAGAAATGGCCGCCGGCCTGCTGTACCAGGAGATAACATGGCAGCAGAAGCAGCAGCACAAGAAGCCAACAAGGCTCCCATGTTCTACGATGGTACACCAGTTCTGTATAAACCTTATGCTTCCCTCGAGGGGAGAATTCCGGTTGCAGAATACAAGGCGAAAGCAGTAGGTGCTCAGGTTGTTGCAAGTCAAGTTGACCACACGCGCCCAATGCTGGATGCATCCATCATCAATGGTGTCAAACGTCGCCTTGGCAACAAGGCACGCCGCTGGTTTGACCCCGTTCTACCCAGCCAGAATCCAGCTGAAGTGGCAGCAATGATTGAGAAGCGTAAACCATCAGCTGAAAACCATTTTGCTGGATGATAAGGACAACAGTCAAGTTATACATTCATCAATGTATCGTGTGTTACCTGTGCGGACAAAGCAACCAGTATATCTACACATAGCCTGAAGAATCTTTCAGATGAGTTTCGCCACCAGTCGACTTGATCCAATGTACGACCGTAGGATATGTATTGACTTGTTCACTATGTTGAATAATACGTGTTTATCTTCTGTACACCCCACACCCCAAACTGGATAGCATTATTGAACATCATCCGGGTCTAGTAATTGCGGAGGACTATCATTAAATGATCTTGACTATGTTGCCGGCACAGCATAATGTCACTATAAAAACTATGATTTCTATCAATATTGATTCAAGCACAGAGAAAGGAATTCCATAATATACTTATAATGTTTGTCACCAAACGCTGGCAGTCGATTTTATGAAATCCCAGGGTATCTGGTATAGTAACTTTTTAGTATGCACTATGCTACAGCCTTGAAAGTAACTGCTCCATGCAGGAATACCCTACCGTGCACACCTATGATAATCTGCACGCGGAGCCTAGTCTACACAGCAGTATGATTTTGTTAGAGTGGTGTGGCCTGGTCTACACAGCAGTATGATTGTGTTAGAGTGGTGAGTGGTGTGGCCTGCAAGCAATGACGCTCACTTGACTGGTTGACCTATCCTCTCCTCCCGCTCTTTTCCCTCTCTGCCATTGCAGTTAGCATTCCTAGTTTAGTGGGAGTCGTGATGGCCGTCGCCGGGCTATATGGGTCCCTCCACAGACCAGGAAGATCGGGATCTGTGTCCGATCACCCCGGCTTTTCCTCTGCGGCTCCGCGGGAAGGCCGGTGTGTAAGTATGCAGGGCTAGAACAAGCAGATCAAAGGAGATGCAAAAACAGAAAGATTTTCAAACTTGGCCTCAGTCATTTGCATCCCAGTCGCCACCACCATGTACCACGGCACCAGCATTCCAGTTCCCACTTCCATAATTGTTAGATATCAAAAGTGAAATCTTCACTTTTGTCTTGGCCTCTCTTCTTCTCTGCACTGTGGTGTGGAGAGGTAATACTAAAAAGGAAAAGAAAACCTGTCTAACAAGGTAATGGATAAACGTGGAGTGGAATGCGAGAAGGAGGTTGGAGTGGACAAAGAAACCTGAAAAGTGAATGCATAATGGTTGTGTAATCGGTCTGCATGCCGCAGTCAGTTCATGCACTTCTACTTGGAGTAGGTAGAATATCCACAATACAATGGTGTAAGTGAGTTACCGTCTAGCTAAATCGTGCACCTATGCGTAATGTAAGCACTGGTATCGGCTTTAATATACACGGTAATGTTGTTCGGTGTTAGGTCCTGACCTGCGTACGGGTGCACCTGCATTTGCTCGGCAGCATCACCAGACTGCACACCTACTGCAGACTACAGTCCAATTAGCATGGCTCCAATGGTGATGGGCCGTGTCCTCCAGGGAATCCTCTCTCCATACAGATACATTTGTATACTGTATAGTAACGCTCAAAGGCCGTGTACAGGTCCTCGATTAGGAACCGTCAAGTGTGGTTATCTCCTCAAATCAAAGAGATGACTAAGAATTTGCCTCGGTACCTTCGGTCTGCGGGCAGTTATTTAGTGCTTCAAGTACTTTTACCCTCAGGTTCTTTATCCAGGTCAGTCTGCAGGTTTTCAAGATAATTGTGTATAAACCGAGCTAATTGTTCGACAAACATGCACAATTCCGGCGTTGAATACTATTTTATTTCTTCGAAGAACATGTCCTATCCAATAGACATCGGAAGTGAGTGGAGTTACGGGGAGCTGCGGGATGTGGAACGCACTTGTGCTCATTTTGACGGGCCTAAACTAAAGTGCCGTATACATACATGTACATACCAGGTACTACAATGTACAGTGTAGATGATTTTAGTGTTTGTATTGATGCAACTGCATGCTACAAGTACATGACGTATAATCATTATGAAAGAAAATGTTCACAGCTGAGATGACGTCCGGGAATATAACGTTAGCTACTGTGAGCTGCTGTTGATCGTATTACCGTAATTGTGACTCTATCTGGGCTATCTGGGCTATCTGGGCTATAGCATTGGATTAAATCATAGTTATTACACGCTCAGGTCAGGATGATGCATAGAAACTACATTAGAAAGTGGAGAATGAAGTGCGGACCTTTGTGCTAGACATCTTCTCTAACCCTGCATGTTGCTAGTTGAACACAATACAGTCACCCGGTATGGTGAGACTGAAACGCCACGCATCATCGGTATGCGGAGAGGTGGCATTGTGAGAGATATCGGGGGAAACAGCATGACATTTCGACAGTGACTGATCTAGGAGAGAAGTAGAGAAGAACAAGTACGTCTGACTGAGTCCGGCTACAAGTTTGAGTTTTGTTAGGGGCCGCCAACCCCTGTGTTCCTACTACGGGTATACCCGGCACTGTAACTGCCCACTCAACATCTCATCGGAGAAGTAGAGCCTTTTGGGTTTAGGTATTTCATCAGAACATCGCTATAACCTTTTAAAGGCTAGCTGCAGATCTGGTTATCAGTTCAGTGTTTGCTAGGATAATGACTACACCAACTGCCTTTATCTCATACGCCGAAGGACTAGTACTGAGTGTTCGATCATCATTGACCAGGCGACTGGCGTCCCTGGTTCGACTGAGTGAAAGACCAGACCACGCCACCACTCCCCTTATTCATGGCTCACACATGACGGGTTTACGTGGCTCTAGTAAAAAAAGAAAAAAGAAAAAAAGTCATCCACATCATACTTCGAAACTATTTTAGGTACAATATGGGGCTAGATTAGTAGATGAGAGAGAGACCAATTCGAACTCTATACAGACGATCAAGGAACATGAATTAAAGAAAGAAGGGGTTACTAGTACTAGCATGGCATAACTCAATTTGAGCTCGCATTGTGAACACAGTGGAGGACTGAGACCAAAAAGGAACTGTAGAAACAGCATTCAGTGCTGTCGGCACACTGGTGACTAGGTGTTCTAGTATTCAGCGCGTGAAGCGTTACACCCAGAGCTTGAGGGATGTACTTCTACACGACACGGAAGCTACCCCTGGGCAAAGGTTTGGTGTGACACAACTCGTGGTGAGGTGAGGTCCGGCATGATCATAAGGATGTCGCGCACAGTAAGTCCAGCATGCAGTTGCAAACACTACCATGGTCCAGTACGGACGGCTAGAGTAGAGTGCAGTACTTCATTGTCTTTGCCGGAGACGAGGAATTCCTGATTGAGTGGCAAGTACTCCCTGATGGCAATTACAGCAGCCAAGGACATCCCCAGCGTCCTACAGAACGCAATTATCTGACAGTGGCGGCACTTCCTGGAAAGTAGCAGCACTTCACCGATGAATCGAGTCTGTTACTCATCGCAATATTTCAGCAAGTTGTTTCATACTTCTCCCCGGCCCTTGGCCAAGGCTTGGGTGTGCACGGTTTGTTAGGAAAACAGCGTCCGCGCCCCGACCGCACATGAAGCCGCATAGACAAACGTGCACGCTCACGTGATGCTCCAAATATGGACATCGACACCGGGGATGCCCGCGAACTGGTCACTTGTGTTTGTGACAACTGGTTGGTGGACGCAAGGTTGGGGTTGGTATGCTGCTAACATGCATACCGTACTGTGTGCATGACTTTTGTGGTGTTCGTGAGCAGCTTGCTGTAGCATCGACCATTGCCATTGTCTGACCCCTCAATCATCCCCGGCATCAGTATCCATCTATCTAAGCACACCCGTTATACAGGCTCACCGACTCACTACTGTGTTATGCTGCCATACAATGATACACGACTTGTATTATCATCCTCTTCCTCCGGATGATCTGACTGGGGCCACGCACATAATTATTGTTTGTCCGATGAGCAACTGTTTACATTGCAGACATTACAGCGCACAGCATGTGTGCTTATCTTCACGATGGTTGACTGTTGAGCGAACGAACTGTCCACTACTAGGCTTGCCTGTATTCCAGATCTGCTGAAGACAGTGAAGTACTCCCGAGGATGTCAGGTGGCGTGGCTAATTCTACTGTAAATTAGTAATTATTTTGTATAGCGCCAGTTCGTACATTTAAAAGTGTTATGTCTGCCGGTACACATCACTAGCGGCCTGAGCTTTCTCGAAGGGCTTCTGTTGTCGAATCGTGGCCCATTACCCATTACTGGCATTAGGCAGTTGGACGTGATGAATTGGTATCCTCCACTGGCTCCAGTCCTGTGTTTGATGGACGGTTGTTGCCAGCGCTGATCGCCGCAACGCTAGCACTGCTCCGTCACGCGTCATTGATGTGTTGCTGCACGGCCATAGTGGCACATAGATAACGACGTAACAACGGTTCACTGTATATTTCCCTGCCACCCTGTCCCTGGCATGGGTTCCACGCTCTTTCGAAGCATTTCCGCAATACTGCCAATAGGCCCTGCGCGCGCGTTTCTGTCACCGCGTGTACGCACGCCGGTACTAGTAAGCACTTTCAAGTTTCAGTTTGCACCTGCATGCAAACAGAACATACTAGATGCTGCCCCCGGTAGCCTCCCTCACTGGCCTCAGTCTTGGAACAGGGTCAGAGGCAGGATATTGGATAGAATAGCGAGCGATGCACACAACATCTGTCACGCGCGCGCTCGCGCTGTGTTCAAATCGAATCCGTTCCGAGTTGCAGTCGGAGGGAAATCCGTTCTGACCTAGCTACGTAGCTGCATGTACATCGCTACACAGCAACTGTACCCGGCAGATGCATCGATCACCTACATCATGGGTTTGTGCATGTAGCGCCATTTTGCCGCGAGCCAGCCTTCGAGAGGCGAGCGCATGTGCATGATGATTGTGTGACCGCGGATAGTGTGCAGGCCCTCCCTGAGTTGAACGTGCACTACTGCCAGTACTGGCACTAGATGGACTTCTTCAATCTAACGGTCGGCATTCTCAAGTGGAGACTGCCTCTCAACAACATGTTGCCTTTCGTGGAGGCGAGCTGTTATTCTCCCACGGATTGTCTGTCGTAAATATTCTGAAGGTTCTCTGTCCGTGGTTCAGTCTTGTTGACGCAACTTTGCTTGGGAGAGAAAAAGTAGAACTTCACATCAGGGAAAGGACGAAATGTTGGCTATGAAGCAGAGGATTGCCAACTGGCAAGATAGGCAGCGACAGCCCGTAAGGCAAGGCGATGGGTCAAGTGACAGGCGAGATTCGCCTCTCTGGGCAACGGACGACGGAGGTGGGGACCTTCAACGTCGAGGCAGAAGGTTATCAGTTGGCAGCAACACCGCCTTTCTTGTCCGTGTCAAAACGGAAAACTCCACGTGCGAGGCACCTCGCTCGAAGAATGGCGAGCTTGCACCTGATTTCAATATCAAGCGATTTGAGGAGAAAACGAACAACTCCCGGACGAGTCATCGATGGTCAGAAGGCAACTTTCACCCGGTGCAAGTGTACGACGTGGCAGATTCGTTAGCCTCTCTGCCCACGTCTGCATCAAGTGGCAGCGATAGCGGTTTAGTTTCCTGCAGTACCAGCGTGGTGGAGAACCACTGGGAAACTCTCAACCCACAGGTTAGTAGAACACACTATCGCTTGCAATGGCCTATTACATAAGGCTGGTTTGGAAAGGTTCGAATTCTTAGATATTAATTTTCCTCAAGGGACTTCGAAGTAAGTTGTGCCCTACTCGTCTGAGTCAGCGTCCGCAGATCTCTGGTTACTTCACGAAGTGAAGTAGATCACGAACTCTGCTAGTGTGTGACAAGTTCATGTCAGTGTGGCTGCTGATTGCATTGAGTTCTCAAGTTCCTCTCACTTGTCTCTACAATCACCATTATTCTGATGCTCTGGGACCAAGCCGTGTGCACTGACTACTGTACACAGCAGCCGTGTCCGTGGTGTCAGTTAGCAGTCGTCTAGAGTTCTGAGTCAAGTATCAGCAGATGCTGAGCTTCATTAGGCGTATACCTTGTGTAGAGTACAGACAGGCATGTAGATCATGTAGATCATGTAGATCCACCATACAACTATAAAGACTAGAGAGACCACGCAACTCTTGCTGATCATGCAGTTATCAGTGGGTACTGAGTCCTGTACTGCATGCAGTGCAATCACATGTATGCTGGCATAAGCCTTGATAAGGCCTTGGTCAGGATTAGACCCGTCACATGGTTAGGACAGGCTCACTGCTTGAGTACATGTGCTCCAGCTTCATTCTTCAACTTTGAACACAGCAATGCACTACTACTCCCTACTCCCGGCTCTTCCTTACAACAATAGTCTGCTCTGAGTTGCATGCAGTACTGCACAATGTCATGTAGTGTTTGTGATCGGTCTTGACATGATAGCTAGTAGTAACATAGTTCAGTGCATTATACTCACAAGTGAAGTCATATGCCATGGAAGTGGGTTGCTTTCTCTCCAGCACAGCATGACACCCATTGCCTGCCATTGGGCCTCAGTGACCTGGCCTGTCACGAGATTCATGTTCCTTATCTGCTCATCTGAACCCCACATGCACACTTTCCAACCCTGGTACACTACTACTATTACAAGTACTTCTTGCAGTTTACTTATGTGGAGTTGGCACCTTCCTATCATAGTGTGTGTGTGTGTGTGAGTACATGGGTAAGTTTGGGGATGCCGGAAGTTAGGTAGTTATGGTGATGGTGGTGATGCTGCTCACTGCTGGTGGTGGTGGTGGTGGTGGTGATGGTGGTGGTGGTGTGTGTGTGTGTGTGTGTGTGTGTGTGTGTTGGGGAGGGGAGGGGCGAAGGCACTTCAAGCTATGTTCGGTAGGTGTCACATCACAGATTTGAATATTATACATGTAAATGATCTCTAGTATTCTATGCAGACCATACCAGTGTAGTGCCGTCCTGCTCAGTGACTGTTGCCACTCCCTAACTCTGTGTGTGTATGTACATTGTATGTATGTGCATGTGTGTGTGTGTGTGTGTGTGTGTGTATGTGTGTATATGGATTTGTGTTCAGCATGAAGTACAGCCCCGTTACTCGACCTTCTTCTATACGGAGCAGCTGCAAAGGCACATGGACCCAGCGCTGCGGACGCGTAAGCTGAAGAAGAAGCACCTGAAAGGCCTACTAAGACTGCATGATATTTTGCAATCACTGGAGGTTGACCTCAGGACGAACCCTGGAGAGTAAGTAAAGCTTTGTGAAGACTAAAGACTGAAAGAGTCATACATTTATGTATTTATGTAGTCCTGCAGTCATTCAAAAACAGGCATAACGTATACAGTACCTTGACAATGTGAACCGTGACTAGTAAGGAAAGTTTGTTTGGTAATCACAATCCTAATCACAATCAACTGTGGCCGTGTGATCTTGTTTCTGGTTGGCAGATGGATCCGAGAATTCATCGATGATCCGAACCGTGGAGCCTATCTCATGATCCAGCTGCTCACTGATATTCAGAATCCGCCACCGCCAGTGAAACTAAAGAAAGGTTATGAAGCTCTGGATCGAAATCCCGAACTGGTGAGAGGCATTTAGTAGAGCACAAGACAAAGATCTAACATCCAATCAAATTCTTCGTCTGATTCCGTTTCTGAAGAAGAAATGTAGAAGATGACTGATATCATGTACAAGTACATTACTCCAGTAATATACACTATGACAGCTGCCGTGCATGCTGTTGGTAATTCTAAAGTTTAGGTATGGGCTGCCTATCATATGTAGTATGTCCTATTATTTGTGTATCTATCTAAAGCAGTGGTGTGCACGGGTAGTCGGGTACCCGTGCTACCCGTGAGGACCTCGGGTAGACGGGTATCGAATCGTACCCGAAAACCCGAAGTCGCAGATGACATGTAGAAAGAGTAGAGAGAGAGGTCTACAGACTAGTACAGTGCACGTGTACAAATAATTCACGCATGTCTACCCAGTGTGTAAGGGAAGGAGCCGGTGTGCATTGTGGTCTTGCCATGGGAACATTACCCGATCGGGTACCCGTGCTACCCGTGGAAAACTACCCGGACCCGATACCCGAAGAAAATGCTACCCGGCTCAGCCCTAATCTAAAGCAGTCATTCTGTTTTCTGATTCTTCTGTGCCCAGTTCGATGAGCATATCTGCGTCCTGTGCTTGAAGGCTATCATGGCTAACAGAGTAAGAACACGGGACCAACATGATCAATTAATTCACCCGTATCAACCACATAATAAGTTTGTGATGAGCCCTCTCTTGCAGTCTAAGGCATTAGCTATGTACCAAACCTCATACTCGTCGAGAGATTCACTACCTCAACTTCATAGTCAAAGAGAGATTTACCATTCCCCTCTTCCCGACTTCTTTCCCTTCCATCTTCTTCAAGACCACAGAACAACCAAATAGAAAGCCCTCTTAGATCACGTGGTCACTCTCTAAAGTCTAATCGATCAATCTATCAAATATAATATTATGCATATGTGTCCGAAAAGGCTGAAATGACATTCTTTCATTTCTATTGCTCTTCTTGTTATAGTATGGTTTTACAGCCGTTCTGAACATTGAGGACAGCATCCGGGTACTGACGTTGTCACTGAGAAATCCTCAACCGAAGACCAGAGCGCTCGTCTTGAAGGTACCGTGTACAGAAGGCACTGGCTGCTGTTGTACTTGTACATGTGACTCTTATAGGAATGTATCGCACTGTCCTATGTCGGTGCATGGGCGGCCCGTCGCAATGGAATATTTAGGGGGGGGGGGGGGGCATTGATTCCATTTGCAAGTCAACCCACGAATATATACTGTCCATGCATATACTACTACTTTATCACATGCGTCATTCATTTTGCGGTTTACACTGCTTCATTTCTCTCCTCCATCACCCCTACAGCATGTACCCGGATAGTTGAGATGTATATGTACTCATGTAATTTTGACAAGTTACCCACCTCAACAAGATGCTGCCATGAAGGAGTTGCTTACAATGGTCATGCCTTTGATCTATCTGATGAAGGCTATTTGTTTTGTTTTTGCAATATAGCTCTTGATCACTGCAGCCATCACTCCTGGTGGTCATCGTAAAACACTGTCTGCACTGGATCACCTACAACGTATCACCGGTGAACGTCGACGCTTTGAAAACCTGGTGGCACAGCTGACTGAAGAGCCACTAGATCATCATTTCCAGGTACTGCAGGCATATGCACAGGGATACTTATACCAGTACTTGTATGTACAGTAAAACCTGTCAATGCGACCACTCGGATGAGGCGACCACCTGTCCCAGAGGTCCACTACAACCAAAACCAAGGAATGCTATTTCCAGCCAAATGACCCTGGATAAGGAGACCACCTGGTGACAGAGACCACGTTTTGAAGGTCCTTTGAGCGGTCGTCTTAGGCGGGTTTCGATTTACAGCAGAATGAGCAGAGCATGCAGGTTTGAATCGGACATTGATGTTTATAGCTGAGACCATACAGTGCTGATTTTCACGACTATTTTGTCACGTTTCTAAGCTAGCATATGTACACCATTGCACTACCTATGGTAGTCACATACTCTACATGTTGTAATGAGTTGTACATGTACATGTGTACTTGATCCACAGGTTGCTGCACTATGTTTCATCAACTCTCTGGTGCACACCGCTGCCAGCATGAACTTGCGAGTGTTCCTGCAACAGGAGCTCAAGTCAGTCGGCTTTGATCCTGATCTAGTAGAGCGTGTAAGTAAAAGTAATACATGTACAGCCAGCATCTACATGTGCATTGTACTGCATCTTACTACTAACTACATCGTACTACTTCAGTATGACTGGTCCCTTCAAAGCATCTACTCCACAAGTACATGTACAGTTTGCTACCTACAGGTCCCTTCAAAACCAAAATGGTTGATATCGAACAATCCGTATGGCGTAGAGCAGTGCGTTGCTACATCAGCGGATCAAAGGGTCCATTTTAAAAGTCTAAGCTTGAACACTGATATGTTTTGAGCAATGATGGGGCAGACTGAAGTAAACCATTCCTTGCCTGGCTTGCACCTGACACATAGTATTGCTAGCTCGAGAGTTGGAGGAATACATGTACGTTGCCCTAGCAAGTATCCCATGCCAGTGTGTATGCATTGTGAAATTTTCTTCTACTTTCTACGTAGTCTCTACGTGGGCGTCAAGATGTGGGAGTTCTCCGTGAGCTGGAACAGTGGCGTTCCAATGTTGTGGATGTTCAAGGAGTGATGGATGAGTTCTTGATGCTGCGTAACCGTTCCAACTTACTCCGCGATGAGGTAAGATGCTCTGGCAATGAAATAAATGTGCCTGCTGGTTATTGGTGTCCTGTAACGTCCTCCATTATTCGGTGCGTAATATATGATAATGCATCATTATTGTCGTCATATTACAGCTGTAGAGTGCCCACCCTGCGACGGTATTGACGCCAATGTGCACTGTTATCATGACCTTCCACGCCAATGACAGCTATACAAATGCACAACGGTTGAGATTGACATGACCATTGTGTCTGAATGTTCATCAGTATCGTATTCAACATTGCCTATTTTAACCGTTTTGAAATTCATTTTCCACTCTTCTGTCCTCTGGTTGTCTTAGGTGGATCTCCTCCAAGGCCGCATCGATGTAAGTCAAGTCACACTGTGTGCTCCACCACGTTGTAGTCAGTGCATGCGTCTGCAGTCTAATACCTTGAGCGGTCTGCAATGATGATGAAGGACTATGCAGATATAACTCCAGCTTTAGTGGGCTACTTTTGCCCAAGGCAGCACTATAAGATGTATTCATATTGTGCAAAAATATACTTGGGCTTGGATTTTTCCATGTTTCCGACCAAGTCCGCTTAGTGCCAGTAAGTAATACACTCTTTGCTCTGCATTTCATTCCATTTTCTCTATTGTAGGATGGTGAAAAGGAACGTCAATGTCTACTGCTGCAGAATGACGAGGTAGGGCTGCTGATGTCCACATAAGCAATCCACCGCCGGCTGGGGCGTTTTTTGTCGAGAGAAATTCTCTTTTCAGCTTTATATGTCTACATTCACACATGTTTACGGAGAGTGACAAGACAACATCATTGGAATCAAGCTTGACTGTTCAAACATGGCATATAATCACCTGCAGTGTTTTCTCATGCGCTGTGTGTATGCCAATCCCAGCCCGATACTGTTTTGTAAACCCTGCACCGAGGTTCCTGTCCATGGCACTCATATTTTTGAGCTTGTATATGGCCGCAATAATTGACACATGCTGACATGTGGAATCCACCTTGTGCTCTGTTTTAGCTGGTAACAACTGGTGAGAAGTATCACGAACGAGCGAGGATGCTGAGGGAGCGTGTGGAAGTACTCTCGGTGAGCAATAGTGAAATCGGTGTTGTGATGTGCCTTTCAAGTCACAGCCCCATCTCCTGCTATTTTTCATTTAAAACCAGATGGACGCCGAGAATAACATGAGTAACTGGAGCATACAATATCCTATTTCTTACTTGGTTTATTGCTGTGTGTCCTTTTTTAGCCTGATTTGGCTCTGTCGAGTTCTAACTTGTTTTCATTGGTCAGCAAGAGTGTGAGAGACTACCAAGAGCCTACAGTATTGGGGATAGTTTGGTGATGACATAACGTTGATACACTGTGACACCTAGTATTCATTTTAGTTGACCTCTTTAGGTACTATCCAGCCTGCCGTCTCAATTCTTATTGGAACTGTGTGCGTGTGCTGCAATTTGCAGAAAGTCTATGAAAAAGATGTAGGCAAGCCAGTGGAGATTGAAGGCGATGACGAGATACTGAAGCCAATGGAGCCACCGCCAGCAATGGGTGACTATGCCAAAGCACCTCCGCCGCCACCAGCATCGGGTGGTGCACCGCCTCCACCTCCACCACCGCTACCAGGTACAAGCTGTACTCCTCTTTGTTATTCCTGACGTTGATGACCTGTCATACAAAAGCCATGAGTTATACATCTTCTGGCTATTAGAAAGTATTTTCCTTAGCCTCCAGAGAGAAATAAAGCAAGGAGTAACCCATCATTATTGCTTTCATTTCAACTGAGTGCAGGTATACAACGTTGTAGTGTTGAATTGCCACGGACTACTGAAGTGTGTACACACACACATGCACACAGTCTACAGCATTTGCCATGTCTTGCTGTTATTGGTGTGACTACAAATTGTGCAGGACTTCCAGGTGGACCGCCAGCACCCCCGCCCATGCCCGGTATGCCGGGTATACCAGGTGCACCTCCACCACCTCCAATGCCGGGAATGGCTGGTGGTAAGCAGAGAGCTCTTATCAAGAGCAATGTGCCGTTGCCAATGCTGAACTGGGTGGTCTTGCGAGAGGTGGATAACACCATCTTCAAGGTTGGTACTATCTATGGATGTGGATGCCATGAAGTTGTTTGAAATAGCAGCTTGTCATCTGTATAATTTGCCTGGCGAATGTTTAAGATGGTGGTTTGTCGTTTGTATGGTATGCCACTCATACACTACCCAATTTCCTTTTGCACGTACAGAGTATCGATGACGAAGCCATACTAGCAACTTTCGACTTCCATGAGTTTGAGAGCCTTTTCCAGGTGAAGAGAAAAGAAGAAAGCGAGAAGGCCTTGGCCAAGAGAGAAGCTGGTAAGTTAGCTTGCCTACACTGATGTGCCAATAGTGTATGGATCTGCTTTTCAACTGCACAAGCTCCGTACCTAAAGAGCTGACTTTACTTTCCATGCATCATTAAACTTATGTATACTAATGTCTCCATTGCTGTCTATTGTGTGGTGCTTATTCACAGCTAAGAAGAAGCTTGCCGAGCAAGTTACATTGATTGAAACGAACAGAGCTCGCAACCTTGGTATGTAGCGGTCACTTTGTACTGTAGATCTCTGGAGCCACTACACATTAGCTAAGAGGATAGGGACTTGTTGGGGTGTGGAGTGATTAGACCGTGATAACTCTCTGTTATCAATCCAGTGAAGGCAACATCAGGTCAATATCTGCAATGCTGCATTCCCTGCAACACGCACATGCTTTGAAGTACACACCTCTGACACGCATTCAATATCAAGATGAAATCCTTCCTGTCGGTTTACGCTCTAACTTAGCATCACCCTGATACCAGACATATGTTTGATGTTGTGTAATCAGATTGCTTGCAATGCAGCAACTAATAACATCTAGTGATGGAAAACAGGAATATACCTGAAGGGAATGGATAATAATTCCGTTGTCTTATAATCACATCTTGGTGGTTGTCTCTGTTTTCTTTTCTTCCGTGTACCTGTAGTTATTGCAAAGCGTCGCATTGGCCATCCATCTAACAAAATCCGACAGTACATTCAAAACACTGACTTGGATGGCTTGCATGCAGACCATGCGGAGCTATTATTGAAGTTTGTACCAACCAAAGACGAGGTGAGAGTGTACGATGAATTGCAAACACATGTATGAAAGGGGTGATGAAGGTGGGGGGGGGGGGTGATGAAGGTTGGGGGGGGGGGGGCAAGATTTGTATCAAACTATTCTGTACAAACCAAGGTGCCTGGCAAGGTGTCTGGTCGACCGTTTCCAGAAGTATCACAGCATTGTGTCTGAGCAATATTGGTTTTACCGTGTTTCCAACTTTCCGAGTCAGTCGTGTAGAGGCCCTGAGAACTGCTCAATTTGAAACAAAAGTTGTGCTCTGCCATCAATTTCTTATGGCTGACTGTCACATTCCTAGTAGTGTTCAAATAGCCAACAAATAACTTTCAAGCCCTAGACTTCCTCTTGTGCTCTCTGTCTCTTGTTTGTCTTAACAGCTTCAGAAGCTCAATGCAAATGCAGAGAAGGTGCAGAACTTTGGTGAGGCTGAGGAGTTCCTGCATGTGGTAAGTAGCCGGCAACACACAATCCCCATTACTTTTGCCTTGTTTAATATCTCCCTGCCTTCATTCTTAATAATTATCATGCATGGCATATGCACATGTTGTCTGATTACTGCGGCAGATGTCCAAGGTGGAGCGTTACGAATCCCGGCTGCATGTCATGACGTTTGCTGGTTACTTCGATGAGCTAGTGGCCACGGTAGCGCCTGTAAGTCACCCACTGCATGCTTTCCTGATCTTGGTCCGAGGTCATGTGACACTATGTATAGTTTCTCTTGTAAGATGCTTAATTTAGCTTACCGGCACTCAGTAGAATAATGGGAGAGCTCAATTTTTCATTCAGTTACGGGTCTATAACAACTTGAGTGTTACTCACAGAATTAGTGTACTTCAAATAACACTCTCGCGGAATTCAACATGTGTCTGTGTGCTTCTTGAAGTGACATTCCCTCCTACCAACTGTGCTCTGTGCATTTCAGCAAATCAACGCAGTGCTAAAGGCGTCCCTTTCCATCATGAATAGTCGAAAACTGAGGAAGTTGTTTGAGGTAAGTCTATGAAAGTCTGGGGGAATATTTCTGACATACCACATTACCACATTTGTAGTGACATTTGTAGTGACATCGGTGATAATCGTAAAAAAGATTGGTTTCTCGTTGTGAGATACCACACTTGCCTCAGCATTTTAACAGATGTAGAACATTGAATGCAAGTTGTTTTACGGTTAGTCGTCGGGGAAGAGAGAACCTGCATGCAAGCCAGGCACAAGAAATTATTAATACAGAAAATTAATGGTGATTGCACTCCACATCACAGCATGTATGGCTCTCAGAAGATAGTATTGCGAACTCATACTCTATTTCCCGACATTTTGTATTCTGTGTGCCCTCAAAGATCATTCTTGCTTTTGGCAATTACATGAATAGTGGACGCCGTGGGCCAGTGTATGGATTCAAGCTGGAGTCTCTGGCAAGGGTGAGCATGAAATGCAGGCCGTGTGATACGGAGCTGGGGAATTGCCTCTGTCTTTCTTGTATTGCTACAACAGCCAAACTTCCTGTTAGATTTTCCTGTTGGGTACTAATAAGGTGCCCCATAACAAAGTTTAGAAATATCCCGGATTTCCTTCTGACAGTGGAGAGCTGAAATATTGCTACTTCCTTTTCTACCGTTCGACACGAAAGTTTATGCCTTGGCGTCTTAGATCTCGGCAAATTATGACTTCATCATAATGTACCAAATTGAGCGAAAAAAAACTTGAACAGCTGTGACTTAACTTCGTAACGTCATCAACCTGATCAACCTGGGGCTATCACCTTTGAAATCGGGGCATGCTTTGGTCATGAGTTCTCATTTGGCTGAACATTCCATCTAACTTGATCTCTGGTTTGTTGTATTCACATGTTCACTAGCTGCTGGACACGCGTTCGACAGATCGCAAGCAGAACCTGCTGCATTTCTTGGTCTCAACAGTGGAGAAGAACTTTCCTGACATCACTGACTTCTATGAGGAATTGAATCTAGCTGGAGCTACCGGAGGTGAGACAGTGGCCACACATCCAGACACACAGTGAGACACGTACACATGACTCTGAACCTTTGAAAAGCCCATTGCTAGAGGTAATGATAAGTACTTGTATTAGATGAGCCAATGGTTCCTGTCCCGAAACGAGTCATTCTGATGATGGAAGTGGCAGTCGCAGGTCCAGATTGGAAGGCAAACTAGAGCATTGTTGTTACTGTACTTAAAAAAAGTTATGTAGCTGCTCACATCCTGATGCATGTACTGCCACTTACTGGTTGTGCATAAGCAGTTGTTGTCGGATGCCCAACTTGACGCATACATTATACTGCTGTAGATGAGAGTGCACTCAGTAGCTTATTGTGTGGTAATGCTCCCTGTCAACCAATACTACTATACCCGGTTTCTGCTGTATTTGTGTACACAGTGTCCATGCAGACACTTGCACAGGATGTACAGGGTCTGCGCAAAGGAATCGACATCACACTCTATGAGCGAGAGAAGCAGTCCAACAACTTTATCATCTTCATATCCTCTCCACACATGTGTTGATGAACTGGGATTTTTACAGCCACCGTGTATTGCATGTACACACACACACACACACACACACACACACACACACACACACACACACACACCCACACACACACACACACACACACACACACACACACATACTAGGGAGGTTTAGTCCCACGTAATCCGTGGGTACTTTACGTGTGTGTACCACGTGATACTCAGTGACCCACGTACAGACGTTTTCTGATTCACGACATACCGTGTATGGAGGCTCACCCACGTTCCGCCAGAACGTGGGTGAAAATCAGAATGGAGCGCATTTTGCGAGCTGTGAGGGTGCTCAGCTGAAGAAATTTCCGAAGCACGAAATCAAAATATTCGATGAGCTTATAGGCCCGGGTAGCTTCGTCTTTGACCAGGTTTGGGCCTTTCGCTTCAGGCGTTTGTTTGTTCCGTGTGACTAAACACAACATCGCAACGTGGATGCCCTTCATCCACTTTACGTGGATCACCCACGTATGCGTTTCCGTTACGTGGGAACTAAACCTCCCTAATGATACATACACGAAAAGGGCACAGAATGGATGTGCTGGGTAACTGATTGACGGTGAGTATCCGCTCTGCATTCCTCCGCTACAACATTTTCAGTACAGCACATATGTCATTCATATGATGTAGATGGCAATTAACATTACTTTGGTACCGGAATCATGTGTAACGTGTGTGATGATGGAGATGTTGGGGTAGGTTCATGTCAACTTGTACTGTACTAATGCCTACACGTCTACTGCATCTTGTGACTGGGTTCAAGGTGTATATGTGCATCTCACAAGCATAGTGACCATCCAGAGTGGTTTGTCCTTGACTACATTTTTGAATACTCCTTCTATAACCGCGCATTTCGCAAGGTGACAGCTATCTCCGACAACTACAAGAAGATGGATGAAGCCTTCAAGGATGTGTGCATGCTGTTCGGGGAGAGCCCAAAGAACACCGACCCATCAGAGTTCTTCGGGCTCTTTGTCAACTTTGTTCGCATGTGGAAGGTAGGTAGAATACCCATAGCAGAAGTACTTCATCTTCAGATCCTAACTAAAGTAATTAGGCGTAGATGAAATAACAGAAAAACATAGTTTTGTACACATGCATGATGTGTGTGTGCACGTATGCTTAGGTGCATTTCTTGGTGCATAGTGTTTTGTATGATGCATCACTACAAGCTAATAACATCATGCACATGTTGATCCGATGTCTAATGCCACTAACATCTATTCATAAATTACTAACTTACACTGCAGGGGGACCCGTAAGACCAATGCCGTGGTCTTCTTACCAGGCACCTAGAACTATGTGTGCATGTATTGTGATCGCTTGGTCACATACTGTGCGCGGAATTGATACACCTCATTGTATGTTGGAAACTTTAGTACAGTACTGTCGGGCGCCGACAACTGTAGTGCCGAAGAACAAACGGGCTAGAAAGTCACGAAGCACAGGCATATACTGATATATATACGCAGTGCCTCGACTGCGCATAGACAGCAACACATGAAAACAAGACCGAGCTAGGCTTTGAGGCGGACCGGCCCCAGTTCTTCGGCACCCGACAGTGCTGTTCTTACTCACTGTGAAATGTGTTGTGTAGGTATGACCTAGCAATGCTGCAGACGTGTTGTATTTACTTTGATGCAGTCGGAATGCCTACTGTAATGTTAGTAATGTGTACTCCCCATTCCTGACCGTGAATTGGTAATTTGTCTCTTTCGTAGGATGAACTGAGTGGAGCATGCCAGTGTAGCGTTGTCACCTCTTGCGATATGTTCCGCCGCCGCATGTCGCGCAAGAGAAAGTCTCGTCGTCGTCGATAACAACACTTTGAGCACAATGAGAAGTGTGTTTGGCTACTGCAGCACCTGATCAGGGATGTATGCATGCATGTATGCCACGGTATCAGGGGTCGTGCTGACAGGGCTGTGGCTGAGCGAAGTATGAAGTTGCGTTGCCCATATCAACTCTATTCGCTAGTCAGCGTGCGTGTGTTTTGCAAGTACATTATGATGCCCATGTGAGGGGGAGGGAAAAAGAGAGAGAGAGTGAGTGAGAGATAGAGAGAGAGAAACAGAGAGAGAGAGAGAGAGAGAGAGAGAGAGAGAGAGAGAGAGAGAGAGAGAGAGAGAGAGAGAGAGAGAGAGAGATAGCCAGTGAGTCCTGAATTTGCCTGATAAAAGACCTTATTTTGATGAATTTCTTACCACAAATTATTCCAAAATACCTTTCTGAGGAATGCGTATTAAATAGGCTTCTAATCGTAAGCTAACTTTTAATTCCAATGATTTCTATGCTCTACACTGATACCACTTCATAACGAGGATGTCATTCGGATTGCATGTAACAATAACAATGATAGCTTGAGACAACAGAGCATGGCTAGGCTTGCATTGTTAAATTGTTGTAATACGTATTGACACCATTTGGACATAACATTATGCGGCAGATTCTGCCCTTTAAAATGTGCTAATAGTTAATATGTGGTCTAAATTGTGCTGTGAAATAGATATGTTTATACTAGCAAGAGATTGGATGCCACTGTATGGAAACTACAGTGCATTGGATGCACATGATTGTATTGGCGGTAATCTTCATGCACAGAGACTCCATCTTTATCATAATGCTCTTTTATGCTGAAAACCTAATTTGTTGATATGACTATAAACATGACATTATTTGTTGACTACATAAATACTTCTATTCAGAGGCCATTGCGATGTGGTTGGACGTAACTAAAGTCACATTCATAATATGAGTGGATGGGGAAGAGACGTGTGTGCGTGTGTTTTTTCATGGGTATTAAAGTATTTCTCTCCCTCCTAATACTTCAACGTGTCTGGGTATGCAGGCGTAGTTCGAAATCGGTGTGTTTCTCGTATGAGGGAACGCTAGCGTTCCAGTGCACACAGAAATGAAACCCATCGCTGATGAGATTCATGTGTTAGAAAATGCACCCCTTCCAAAAGCCTTGCTATTGATCCCAATCGTTCTACCCAAAGATGGATACAGCGTATAACTACCCTCTACAAGATAATCTTATCGTGTGCTGCATTGCGCAGAATGCCTGAATCAGGCTGAGCAGTAAACAATCCAGTGACCTTGCTGCCGCCGAAAGCCCCAAAGGTAGTATAGTGCCCGTGAATGGGTACTAGTATGGGGAGAGATACTTGTACTGAACGTTAGTACAGTCACCTACATGTATGTACTTATTTACCTGGGTTCTAGGATGACTCTAGTGTGTACCGCTTATAGTAAGGGTGTAACCATGGTAACCTTCGAAGTTCAGTATGGCCACACATCACAAGTACTGTCGACTCCACGTGCTGTAAACGCAGACAATTTAGGTGGTGTTTTATTTTCAGTAACTTCGGTGCCGTTTTTTCATGGGTATTAAAGTATTTCTCTCCCTCCTAATACTTCAACGTGTCTGGGTATGCAGGCGTAGTTCGAAATCGGTGTGTTTCTCGTATGAGGGAACGCTAGCGTTCCAGTGCACACAGAAATGAAACCCATCGCTGATGAGATTCATGTGTTAGAAAATGCACCCCTTCCAAAAGCCTTGCTATTGATCCCAATCGTTCTACCCAAAGATGGATACAGCGTATAACTACCCTCTACAAGATAATCTTATCGTGTGCTGCATTGCGCAGAATGCCTGAATCAGGCTGAGCAGTAAACAATCCAGTGACCTTGCTGCCGCCGAAAGCCCCAAAGGTAGTATAGTGCCCGTGAATGGGTACTAGTATGGGGAGAGATACTTGTACTGAACGTTAGTACAGTCACCTACATGTATGTACTTATTTACCTGGGTTCTAGGATGACTCTAGTGTGTACCGCTTATAGTAAGGGTGTAACCATGGTAACCTTCGAAGTTCAGTATGGCCACACATCACAAGTACTGTCGACTCCACGTGCTGTAAACGCAGACATTTTAGGTGGTGTTTTATTTTCAGTAACTTCGGTGCCGACAATTTTTACCTAAAATAAAACGCACCGAATATGTTGGTACTAGCACTAGTACACTTACCTGGAAAACAGGTTTACCGAAAATTTCCCTCCACCGAACCGCTCATTTTGGAGAATACCGTTACCGTAGAATCCCGCGGATAAGCCCATGGGCTTATCTGTTTCACAAGGACATTTCGGTGGGCTTATACGAGAACATGGGCTTATACGCGGGCATGGGCTTATACGGCGACACAAAGTTGTGCTATTGAAAAGTATCAAGGAAGTGAGAAAAACATTGCTGAAAACCACTGTGCAAACAAAAACAACCGATGATTGTGCTGAAATGTACGAAAAAAACTATAATGTGCATGACTACGTACATGTACATGGTATGGCCAAGAGTCCATAATTTATGGACTCTTGGTATAACCTAGGCCCATGGGCTTGTACGATGAAGCCTTGTGATGTTCGAACAAACCCTGGGCTTATGTGCGGGCATGGGCTCATCCGCGGGATTCTACGGTAATATTACTTCGGAAAGTACACCACCAAAAATGTCTGCTCTTACAGTATAGCAAACTCTCTTATAGCGAATTTGATGATAATATAGCGAGCCATTGTCCATGTCCCTGTTTGAACTCATACAAAATTGACCCTTTGTAGCGAATAGGTTTTGTTTAGAACCATATCTTGCATAGGGCCGCATGTAAACCAAGTAGGCTTTCCCCAAACCGGTCGCCAAAAAATTCGCTGAAAACCACATCTATCGAATAATTGCTAAGCTTTCGCTGATTTTGAAGGATTCCTTTGAAAATCGCCGAAAATCTACCAAATGTTGTTGCAAAGTGCATTTACGAACGAATGATGTTGGTGCAAGCATGACCGCTCGAGCTTTCTACTTCAGTACTTGTACCGGTAGTACTAGGGCGTTGAGATCGTGTGACTCGTGTCCTTTGACCTCCTCTCAAACAAACATTAGCCATTAGGAAGATCGTTACTAGTAAAAAAACAAATCGGCTGGCCGAAAAATTCGTTGAAAACGAGACTTACCAAAAAATCGCTAAGCTTTTCGCCGATTTTGGAGGGTTCCTTTGAGAATCGCCGAAATCTACCAAATCTTCCAATCTCTCACCAATTTTGAAGCCAACATGCCAACAATTATTTTTGCCGATTTTCCAATTTGTTCCAATTTTGCAGCCGATTTTTGAACAATCAGCAGATTTTGCAGCCGAATCTGATGTATTTTTGAGCCGAGCGAAAAGCGGAATAGGCGAAAACGGGCTTATTTAGGGAAAGCCTAAAACCAAGTGTAGTCATACCAAGTGCAGTCATACAGGCAAGGGCCGCATGTCTTTCATGACGTGTTGCTTGTAAGGTGCGAGCGCACTTCTGTTATAAAGAACTTCGGCCACAAAAAAACCTACTTTTCCTGCACAATGGGGTTCGCTATATCAGGAGTCGATGGCACCAATGAAATACATTGCTGGAGGGGAGAGCAAGAACATGATGATAGTCATGTGACTGAACGTACAGTGTTTCAATATGGATGTCCGGTAGTTTTCAATGCAGTTCTGCTAACATGGAATATACATGTATGCGGCACTAAGTTACCCGCTCCGTCAGTGCATGCTGTTCCACTGACCCTGAGACGAGCATAGCATACCGTATTATCTCCATTACAAGCGCAGTCTCTCGTAGAAGCCCAGTCTCTATTATAAGGGCACTCCAAGAGGGCTTCAAAGATATACAAGCGCAGTCTCCAGTATTAGCGCAGGGCTTATAATGGAGAACTGTCTGGATCATGTCCATGCATGTTTGACGTCCACAGTATCACATACACACATGTTATGACGCAGGTCTGTGATCCCCGAGATAAAAATGTACAGACTCAGTGTGCCAGGAAGTGCAAAACTGCATTCACGGTACTTGGTGGGAAATGTTGTGCTACTGGTACTAAGTATAAGAAAAAGTATTTGTACCAGACGGTTGAAAAATTAGAAGCCCAGTCTCTAGTAGAAGCCCCATTCTCCAATATAAGCCCAGGGTCAAGACTGGTTGAAAAAATATAAGCCCAGGGTCAGGAGTGGTTGAAAAAATATAAGCCCAGGGCTTATAATGGAGATAATACGGTGCCGGTAGCTATAGAGTATTGTAATGCTGTTCCACTGATCCTGAGACGAGCATAGCATACCGGTAGCTACAGACTATAAAGTGCCATGATCCCAGTGCAAACACAAGTTGTATGTCCATCTATGGTTCAGATCTTAGATTTGTGATCAGATTGCAGTGATCATGTGAAGCAATGCACTTGACATATTCAATGCACGCTCTTGTCTGCCTTTTGCCATTTCAGCTTGGCGTGGATGAGAACACTGCTCGGGAAAAGAAGGCAGTCGAGGAGGAACGGAAGCTTCAGCTGCAGCAAGAGCAACTGCAGAAGAAGTATGAAAAGCAGCGACAACTGGAGCAGGAACAAGAGCAGAAGGCACAAGCAGAGTCTGTCCTGGCGTCCCAGCCACTACTTGAGCCAGGGCCGCCGGATTTGCCATCGCCGAAGCTAAGCAAAGCTGAGCAGAAGAAGGCAGAAAAGCAGGCGAAGAAGGACAAAAAGAAGGAAGAGAAGAAGCAGAAAGAACTGGAGAAGAAGATGAAAAAGATGGGCAAGTCGGGTCTGAGTGGTCAGCTGCTGCTTACAGAGTCTGGCCAGCTCCAGGTGCAAGACCAACCGAATGATGTCATGCTGAATGGAAAGCCACCAGCTCTACATGAGCCACCAGTGGAAGACAGTCCAGCGACTGTTGCCGAGTCCGATGGCAGCACTGCTGAGGAGAGGATCAGTGTCAAGTCACGACAGCCACAGCAACCCACAGTCATCAGCCAAGCAGTGGTTGGAATAGAGACACTGGCAGAAGTGGATCAGCAAGGAGCTCACCTGAGCACAGCCAATGCTACGTATCAGAACCAGGATGCACTCCAGCCCAGAGCGGGACCGTCGCTAAATATTGATGAAGGTGGTGAGCTGTACATGGCTCCACCCGATAGCTGCACAAGTTTTGAAGATGCAGACATCTACATGATGCCCGCTGAGACTAGTCAACAGCACTCTGCCCAGGGCAGCATTGCTAGTATGGACTGCGATGACTTTGTGATGCCCAAGGTCGAGCCGCCACCGCCCCTGGATGATGCAATGTCTCAAACATCGACACGTGTTGGCTATGATGCTCCGCTATCGCCTGGTTCATTACAATCTGGTCAGATAGTGGACGAGTACTACGAAACGGCGCATGATTTGACGTCACACACGCCTGGTGAAAGTCAGTACCAGAATGAAGTGCAACAAGCTCAAGCTGACGGTTTGATATATGAGATGGGCGAGGACTCTGAGGAGGAAGACGTCGTGATCAAGCCAATACCGAACATGGCGGCAATAGCAGCGGCTCCCGGTGCCCGTGTTCAAGCGCATCCAAAAAAACCACTGATCACACAAGGCTCTGACAGCACTCTCTACGAAGACATGCCACAGAGCTTGCCCGCACAAAACCACGCCACCACCCTTGCAGTACAGGAAGACGCTGGAGATATGTACGACTTCATACCTGGTGACAGCGCTAGCGGTACGACCAGCGGCGCCAGCTCTACTCTATCTTCTGCAATGTCCACGATGCAGAAAAACCAGCCAAGTATAGCACCACCACTCGCACCGCCAGCCTTGGTTGATCAATCGCACTACGACTTCATACCGGTTAACGCGCCACCCCTGCCAGGATCAGCGTCACCACGGCTACCACCCAGACCAAGCACTGCTACACCATACCTGCCTCCCCGTGATCCTGCACCGGCTGAGCGGCCAATGGAGGATGATGGAGAACTTTACGAGGCGTGCGGCGGTATGACAGCTGTTGATTATGACCGCATGAAGAGAGGCACATTGGATCCAAGAGCAGCCCAGACTGATCAGCCATCTGCCAGAAGCAGTGGTAACCCGTACGATCGAATGAACTCTGACGGAGTGCTGCAGCCAGCTCAAGACCCGCCACAAGAAGAGTACATGGATATGAGCGCAATTGGTCAAGGGCAGAGTGACATATACGAAGGTTTTGATGGCTAGTACATCTAAACCTACTAGTATCTGAAAGTTAGGCTTGGTTGCTGCATGAAGTTATGTGACAACATTCTACCTTTGCGCAGCTGACAAGAATTCAGCACACCACCTACGATATTATGTGAGTGCATGGAATAAGAAATCTATTGTGAGGACTATTGTGATTGTCCTTTCAAAACAATGCTGAGTTTGAGCATTTTCTTGGCCCGAATGCCACCCCCCCCCCCCCTCAGTTATTAAAATGTTTGGGGGCTTTTCTCCTTCGGATTTTTCGGATTAATTCAATTTAAAAATCGTTAAGCTCACACATTTCCCTGATTGAAGACCTCACAAATCGTGTGCATGTTCATACGTGTGGAGCGCTATCTCATCTACCGGTATGCCTTGTCTACAGTTTCTGGATGCCAGGGACACGGAAATTCTTGGGTAACTTATCACTCTGGATGTACAACGTAGCAGAACGTAAACACGCATGCCCTACGTATACACACACACACACACACACACACACACACACACGCACACTACTTGAACAGGAAAAGAACAGATAAATTACGTTACGAAAATCGGTGAAAATAACGCAAGGAAACAGGAGGGACAGAGAGAGAGGAAAGCTAAAATACAGAGGCATCAAAAGCCATATGAGTCTAATGTTTGTTTCATGGATGCCGCCAGCAGCAGTAGAAAGCAATAGCCCGGAATAGCACTCACTGTACAGTGTACTCAAGTCATTATGGGAATTTCATGAACTATCTCTATTTCGTGAAAGTTGTGAGAAATTTTGAATATCACAGCTTGAATTAATGAACAGACTAGCAACCAATTATGGGTTTTACCTGACCTGTCACACTAAGGTCTGGGCTGACTCTATTCACAATACACCCACAGTGACAACTGTTATCGTACGTTGAACATGCAGAAACTGCATAGGTTGTTATGCAAGGGCACGGCGGTCAGAGGAACATGTCCTGAAAGTAGTCGTCAAACTCTTCCTCCTGTGTTTTCTCCATTTCAACGTGAACCGGCTTTTTCCAGACTTGACTCGGGTCATTACTAGCCTGTGCAGCACGTGCTACATCACTGGACTGATCAGCAGCAGAACTCACAGTACCAGCATTGGCACCGGATGCAGATAGAGACGCAAACAATGCATCCGTTCTATCCGCTGCATCATTCGCGCCGTCGCCGGAAGCTGATGTGTCTTGATCGGAATGCGACGAATACTGGTCAGAATCCTCGCCAGAACCCTCTCGTCTCCTCTTCTTCTTCTCTTGTCGTTCTTTTTCCTGCTTTCGCTTCAAAGACTTTTCGAACTCTTTCTCCTTCATGGCTCGTTTATGTTCATGGTGGTAGTTCAGTTTTGCAGCACATGCTTTGCATAGCCTGAGTTTGACTAGGGCATTCTTCTTCATACCATGCTCCATGTAGCCAAAGTTCACTTCCCAACTGGTGAGCATGTCAGTGTTTGGACAACGTCTGTCTCCGCATGCAAACTGCCCCTTGCCATCCAGCACCTCCCGTTCCACGCGCCACCTCATGGCCACTTTGTTTTCCTTGTAGCGAGACAAATCAGCTATGCAGTACTCCTTGAACAGTTTATCGTAGTACTTCTTTGCAAGTCGCTTCTCCCAGTTGTTCTGGGCAGCGTCGTCATCTTCGTCGTTCCACAAGAATTGATGATTCTCAGCCAACACGTCGTAATCATTTCTGTCTCTGGATGCGTCTCGTGTGAAATGCTCCTTTCCCTCATAATGTAGGCAGTAGTAGTTGACAAATTGCTTGTGCCTGGAATAGGCATCCATTGCCATGAAGCCATTGTACCGGCCTATTCTCCTGGCAGCAGCGTCTACCTCGTCGCGGAACACTTTCTTATTGGGAAGGCTAGCTTTCTTGGATTCTTTCTTTGCCAATGGGTCCGAACGCCAAGTCTTCTTCGGCTCAGGCTCCTCCAGATCCGAGTCATAGCCATCGTTGCTAAAGTCTATTTTACTCGCCATTGTCCTGAGGATGCTCTCATTTCTGAGAGACTGCTTACGAGCCAGCAACCATTCATTCAGGCCGAGGCTTTCATTGCTTCAAAGGTAAGCAATAATAATTATTATTGTATAAATTTTTGAAATTTCCAAGCATTTCATTTTCAATTTTTTTGAGAGACTATCATTTTCCTTCGTAAAAATGCGTTTGTCCAAAAGAAGGGCGTGTTCGATTGATGGCATCCGGATGCAGATCAACCGGATCCACTGGATTCCCAACCTTTCGATTGTTGAATCTGGATTCGGATCTGACAGAATTGGATCCGACCAACCCACCTCGGGTGCAGGCCGCAGATCCAACGGATCCTGGTTATGGTTTGCCACTCAACCTTTTTGGCACAGAAAAAAGCCTAAAAAACTCCATATTTCGGGCAGGACCGAACCCACGGGAAGGCTGTCATCACACTACGGTACAACGTGTTGCATCTACGTCCACGTAAGCCTTGTAGGGGATTCACACGACAGGCAAATCCACGTGCACTGGAAAGTTGCTATGGTATTTTACCTGTGAGCGAGAAAAGTGGCTGAAAGTGGCTGAAAAGTGCAAGCGAGCTGGGGGCCCACTTTCATGATAATCGTGGCGTGCACGAGTACATTAGAGAGGTTAAGTTACACGTTTTTTGCCCTTTTTCAAAACGCGGTGCAAATCTCACGTTACGTGTAATTTTTAGAGGTTAAGTAACACGTGCGACGTGACGTGAAATTTTGCCTGGCAGGATTCGGGTTTAGTTCGCACAAAATTAATATCAAATCTTCCAACAAACTTGATAAATCTCGATAAAATTCCGGAAACTCACACAAATTCGGTCGGGATAACCAAGCGAAACTTCCAAAAACCCACGTCATGAACTTACGTGCGGGACAGTCAACTCACGTAAAACACGTCAAATTTTACGTGAGTTTTTTCACTTTTTTACGTAAAAGTTCACGGACGTAAGACTTTTACGTGAAACTTAACCTCTCTATTTACACCAAAAAGCGCGAAACAAGACTTGATTTTTTACGCGGCTCTTTAGAACATTAGCTGCAACCTGCGCCTTGATCCTTGAAGGGTGGTGGCGTTCCTACGGATGCGGAAAGCCCGGCTTCCAGCCGAGTCTCACGTGAACCATGAATTTTTTTAATTTATATTTTTTAGAACATGATACTTATTGCATGCGTGTGTTTGAAAATTTGAAATACCCATGGCTACTGGTCGGTGAAGCATTCAAAAATGCGAACGTGCCTGTCGTCGAGTGCAGCTGTGTGAATCCACACTCCCTGTAAAACGTGCAAGTGCCTGTCGTGTGAATTGCCTTTAACAGTAAGGAGTTTTTGGTTGGTTGTCATGATGATCCATGTGCAGGGTGAAAACGGGGAGCAGAGGAAATGGGGAACGTAGACGTGTCAGGGAGAGGGGGGGGGGGGGGGAGAGGAATACAACTACATGTACGTGTAAAACAGGCAAACGTGCCGTGCACATCTCTCCCAGTCTTTTTCCAAGCGACCTTGTGTGCGCGTTTGAATTATTTTCAATTTTCTCCAAAAACGTGACCATGTGTACGGGGCAAGAACTATCCTGTGTGAAGACTTGACCACCCGTACCCGTTGTGGATTTTCCCCGTAGACGTACATGTAGATGTAAACGGGAGTCAATGAACGAAATGAACGGAGTGTGTTGATGGCCCAGGCAAGGTGAGCTTCACATTTAGTATGTCATGTGCATGTACGTGTATGTGTACATAATTTATACTAGATTCACTGTTCAACCGACGCTCACTGCAACGATAATCTTTATCATAGCGGCTAACTTTGGCACAATGAGGACCAACTCTGGCAGTTTCCCTTGGTAGCCAGCATGCATACAACAGTAAAGCAATCATGTACACTTCCCAGAGTCAAGCCCGGCCCTCGAAGCATGTTGTGCATTCTGCCGTTATCCAAGGAGAGTGTTGTGGAGGGAAGCCAAGGTACAAGTCTGCATTGTGCCGCATTGAGTGCTGTATTGCACCAGGTTTAGCTATAGAACAAAGCTAGGGCATTGCCTCTTATCCTCCAGTGTCGGCTTCTGTGAGCAAAACTCGTCTTGGCTCTATGACATCATTGTGTAGAGCGTGTTATCTCGACTTTGGGAACAACAGTAGCTAGAGAGTACTAGGGTTCACCGGGTGTTTGCGGCCGTCGTGAGTTCCCTTCGGGAACAGACATGATTATTTCCTTATTTTTACTAGCGTCTAAGTTTGTTTTGCCCTGGGAATTTGATTTTCTTGCCTTGCCTCTGTCACTCACAAAGGGACACACAACCAAAGCGAGGGCCTGGCCCTAGGCCCTGAGGGCCCATACTGAGGAATTTCAAAATGATTTTGTTTTCACTTTGTGTACATTTGGTTGCTGTGACTGTTGGTGTTGTTGTTTTACATTTGGTTGCTGTGACTGTTGGTGTTGTTGTTTTATGTACTACTCAGGCTACTGTCACCTTAGCTCTCAGCATGCTCAGTTGGAATGCCAAGTTGATGTCATGTTGTCCTCTGGTCTGGACCCCCTGGCGATCTTATTGCTATGGCTTTACGTGGTTCTGAAAAGCAGTCAATCATCGGCTGGACATGAGGTGCTGAAGTCACAGTTCCGTTGGCAGAGCTGCAGCACTTTCACAGTAGGTGGAGTTGCTGAGTGTGACCCATACATAGGGACCCCATGCCGTGTACACTTTCCACAGGGGCTGTGTGAAGGTGGCAATACTGGAGCAAGCATCCACAGTGACACGGCATAGGTAGTAAAAATATTATACTGATAACTGGTGCTATTAAAATTTGCATTGGAAAGACAGTTTGATTCATAGAGTTGTAAAACTTACTTGACTAGGACTGTGCGGAGCAACTGATCTCATCCGACCCATCAAGCTGCTGCCTGCCAGCATGTCTTATACAAATGTAGAGGTTATGAGATTGTGTCATCATTTGAGGTGCTTTGCAAAACTACGGTGGCGCCGCAAGCCCTGTCTTGCCACTCAATACACACAAGTACAAGGCATAATGCGTCGATTGTGTCATTCGGCGTAGCCTCTATTCGAAGATAATGCAGATGGGAGAGCACAGCAATGCTGGCACATCATGCTGTCGTTGTGGCTGATAACACTTGGATTGTGGACTGTCAGAAACGTGCCACCAACACCGCCTATCAGAAAAAGAAAGATGGGAGGCCCTGAGCCTGCTCCACTGATCCGACCGTTGATATGCACGCTTTGGACTGGCTGAACTGTGCATGTGTGCACATGCTGTATGATCACAACGTGCTGTGCATGAGTTCCTTGTGTCAGAATTCGTCAACGCTATGTCCAGACTGATTAGGCTCAGCATGTGGTCCGTTGCCAGTAGTCACAGTATCGTGTAGGTGATATGGACTAATATGGATCAGTCTTCCCTTTTTTTTATTCCTAAGACGAACTCAGTATCATGCATATCCAATACAGTATATAGAGCATCCCCTGAACTTCTGAAGACATGATGTCACAGCTTATTACAAAAAAACAACTCTTGCCTGGAGTAGTCTGGACTGTGCTGCATGTACTTGCAGTACATTAAATTAAATTAATGCAAAACCTACACCAGCAGGATCTAGGACCAGGTGAAAGGAAATAGAAGATGGAATACAATGTTTAAAGTCTTGTTGGTTCATATTTCTGAGTGCACGTGTCTGCCTTTGTTGTTCCCCCTGATAAACGAGGAAGGGAGATTATACTTCACTGAAAAGTAGAAGCAAGCCATGATGGGCATTTTGGAGTTATTGGATTTTTTCTTTTACTTTTACTTTTAACCTAGAGATACAGTAGCCGTAGTACAGTATGCTTGAATACGTGGGAAAGTGAAACAGTGGTGTGCATGTGCATGTTTTGGCTACTAAAGTATGTTCAATACTTTCTGACATGGTTTAATACACAACAATGACTGGATCCATTCATGACCAATGTCTATGATAGGCCTTTCAACTCATGTCTAGTTAAGATAGGCCTTTCAACTCATGTCTAGGATTGCCCGGCTGAACACATCCTGTAATAAGGCTGTATACTCACAGTATAGACTGTTATGTCTACAGTAAATGAACATTACGTTTGTAGTCAAGTAAGTAATTCGTTTTAGTGTTTTCTTTTGCAGTGGGTCTTGTCACTATATTTTGCTTTGTTTGTTTCTCTCATGTTCTACATGTGGGAGCTGACTGTCGACGGTCCGGCCTCGCAACCGTCTCCCATTCACCCTTCTTCACGTTTCACATCAGTCATCATAGTACTAGTAGATCTACGTCTACGAGCAGTGGGAGCAGTTTCACACCTTGGGCTAGGTTTCAACACTACAGCGACATGTCCCAGCCTAGCTACGAAAGAAGTACAATACCAGAGTCTAGACGACAAGCAGTGCATCTGTTGTGGAGTGATGATCTGTGACCGAATGGCAATGGCGGGACTGGTGACCCAGGAGCTGCGTTTCCTCACTATCTAACACTACAAGTAGTAATAGTAACACCATGACCATGACATGACTCGGTTACACTGACTAACACTTGTATTGGTACTGACTACTGTAACTAACTAAGGCGTGACTGATTCGCTTTCCTGATGAGTGATGGCTAGTGTTCCTGTGTGCCCCCGAATACTAGTAATAGCCCTGAGCACTAGTGTTCCTGTGCGCTCCTGTGCGTGGCCCGAAACAACAAGCGCATGACGAACATCGGTTCCCAGGCTCACCGCTGATCCTCACTGACCTCAGTTATCTGCTGTACTGGCCATGATCGCCTGTACTACACAGACTCAGTCCAATATTACCATGATTACGCAGGCAATGCAATGATAATGCATACCACCACCACTACTCCTGGGGCAGTGTATCTGCACTACTTTTCAACTCTGGCAATCGAACCGCAATGGGGCTAGGTATTTTCCAGGGATCGCACAGACTCACCGACTCAGTACAGTTTCTCACCGCGTCAGCGTCACGCATGTCGGGCAGGGAACGCTGCGACACGCGAAGAGGAACGCAAGTGCAAGAGCACTCACTGTGACTAGTGTATATGTGCGCAGCATTATTGTTTGCGATAACGGTCTGTTCCATTGTTTGATTGTGAAGTGCTCCCCTCTTCTGGGCCCTTGGATTTCATCAGCAGCAGGTGGGACATCACAACACTGAACAGCAACGGGAGTTGCAACTGCCACAACTGGTTGAGTTGCCGCTGGACTGTAGACTGTAGTCCAGTCGCGAATAGAGCCTCACCTTCTGGGAGCGCACCGCATAACGTCCTCGAATTCTTGAAGGTTTCCCTGTGCGGGGACCGGCCTTCACCGATTGGGAAGGTTTTATTGAGCAACAGCCCACCAGCAACATTCAAGCATTGGACCAGGCGACGCCTCTGCCGGAGCATTGGACGTTTAGAAGAGTATTTTTATTTTCATTTGTGGCTGTCGACTACAGTCAAAGTACCCTACACGGAGTGGGGTCGCTAGTGGCAGATGTGGGAGGTCGACGCCAGGGGACTACAGCTAGTACAGGATCTTAGACTGGCAGGGTCTCAAGAGGGGTCTTGTCCTGTTTGACGTTTGACTGGATTTCTCTGACTTGGACCACCATCACCGCCGAATGCTAGCACGCAACACCCTGCATGGTCTGTGTTGCTGCCTCCTGCAGGTTACAAGTACAAGCACAAGCACACGAGCTCATCAACGTTACGTTCAACTGAGTGCACGCATTTGTCATGACTTGAAGATCAAGACAAGAGAGGGAGAGACACGACGCGCACACTGCGGCACAGTGCAGTCCGCCGTGGAACGGCATGGCAGTCTTTGGCATAGACGGATCGCGGAGTCCTCGACTCGTCTGTCGTGTGCACCTCTGACAGGCCTGTGGCTGTGGTCGCTAATATCAGCGCCGTCGTGCATTGTCGTGCAGTGTCGTGCAGTGTCGACCGACTCGTTCATCTTCTGTTGTGCTTGCGGCTTCAGCGTAGTTGTCAGCTGGTCTCAGTCCTGATTTCAACGTTGTGCGCCCTTTTCGGATTCCGACAGAGGATTGCAATGACCTACTGCTCGGTTGGGCAAGCAGGGACCAAGCTCGTGAAGTCAGCAGGGAGGAGATCCGAATAAGAAGAGGAAATAGTTTTGAAATTGTTCGGCGACAATCGCCGGTTTCTTTGGAATGGCGTCGTCGAGCGCTTCCTCTCGGAGTTGTTCGCGCTGCTGTGGTTCATTCATCTTGGCCATCATTGCAGCAATAGCGCTCGTTCCGGTTGGACACTGCAGTTCTGGTGAGTGGTCCTTACACATACTTGTAATGTGTTCCCGTGCCTGATCCCAGTGTTACAGTGTTACAGGGTGAAATTGCGGATGTCCTTGCACAGTTTGTTTTTTAGTGTAGCTTTCGTTATCAACAGTTGACAGCGGTGGAAGCGTTACCGCCGGTAGCTTTGAGTTTCGTTCAAAATGGAACCATGCTAGAACTCCATGTCCTGCAACAATGCAAGGCGAGTCGGGTGGGTAGAGGAATATTGTATTTTTGTAGCCTGGTACTTGGTAGGGATGTACTGTACTCTGTAGTGATGGTTCAAGGTTCGATGGGACTGTCTTCAACTAATAATATTATTTACTTACTCATGTCCAAGTTAGTTACTTGAAGTAGACTGCAAAAGTGAAGCTTGAAGGATGTGTTTTCGACGGAACTCAATGGGTTCATTGTGCTTGTGTGTCAGCTTGGCGATGTCTCTGACTTTCAGTGCAGTGTACTCTCGCCTATTAGCGCTAACTAATCGATTGTGTGTTGTGTAACATGGTGTACGACTTGCGGCGCTGGTTTGCGACAGGCCATCATCGGCCACGTCGAGACCAAAATTAATCGTTTCACTGTTTGCTTCCTTGACTAGCTCGCCAGCAGTAACTGAGCTAGGCAGATCGTCGTAGTCAATTTCATTGTCAGGGAATATTATTACTCTGATTTCGCCATGCCGCTGTCCAAGAGAGGAAGCAGTCATTCAATCTCTTTTCACCCCGCTGAAGCCCCGCTTTCCCTGGGTAGTCCGAGTGCTTCGGAATGAAATGGTAGTTCATGTGGACATTCACTCCTCCGTAGGTGCCTGTGGGGGAGAGGCATTGCCGGTGTTTGTCGTAAAAGCTAACGGTGATCCAAACCTTCCGTACTTTCCACATATGTACGGAAAGCACTCTTCCGGACCCACATTACGGAAGTAACATAGTTGAGCAATATATGGTACGAAATCGAAATGAATCGATCAGCTGAGTAGAAGAAAAGTGTAGATCTAGCAACGAAAAGACAAGTGCTTGCCAAAAAAGCACTGTATACGGTAGCACATTTCTTGGCATTGTTGGCATCGCAAAACACTGCGAATACGGAAAGTCAGAAGACCCAGCTAGCTCTGCGTAAAGGAAAGTAAAAACTGGAGTGGATGTGACTTCTATCACTGGCACTGCACTGAGTCTGTGCTCAATGCCTCCAATAGTAATACTGTGCAGTAGTACACATAGTTGAAGTATTTGTTTTCAATCAACTGTGACACATTTTCTAATGGAGTTACTGAAAGTGCAGGATACGGTGCATCTCAATTTCACTACCTAGCTGTAGACAGTGTAGTGTTACTGGTACTTGCTGCCTCTACACACTCCATGCAGTACATGCACTGTGCTCTTCTTTGCCTGGGCCCCAATATAAACTGGGCTGCCACAACAATACCATGAATACTGAAGCATCCAATTGAGAGACAGAAGAGGAAATCTTACATCTATGCAACGGCATGATGGACCAACAAACAGCAGGAGAGTGGTGTATAGCAGTAATGTGCACCTACTGTTGACCAGGACATAGTGCTAAGAAACTGACATGATGAAAGTGGTCAATCTCTTGTCTGTTCTTCTAACCAAGAGGGGGCTACTTAATCAGCCCCTATTGATGATATGCTAGTGTTTTGCTTTTTCGTTGAGGCGGGCTGGAAAGCCAACCCTGAGAACATTTCTTGATACAGTGCACCAGCATGTACATACTTCTCAAGTAGCAAAATGCACCTGTTGTAAGGCCATCACATGCACACATGGCCTAATCATTACCATTAACATTATTGAACTTTTAACAACTGCAAGGAGTACATTGTCTTCCAAAGCTATGCTCATGAGTTGTTCCATTGCTGTGCTGATTGCTTCCGAAAGCAAGTGTTAGTTAGTGCACTCTAGTGTGTTGTTCTTTGTTCAAGCGTCCTCGAATACCTGAAAATCTTTTGCCAGGGGAAGAACTTGGTGCCGGTGTCCAGTTTGGCTACACTGCGCTGATTGCTGCAGTATTGTGTCTAGAGCAGTGTGCTCTCACCTTGCAGGCTATCGTAAATAAAGTTACATGTGAACAGCTGGGCGCATCTTTTCTCTCAAGTTCGCGGAGTTCGAATTGCTAACCGGAGCAATGTATCATCAACGTATTTGGTGTGTTTGTTATCTTACACGACTAAGTACTGCGGATAGTTACATCCACTGGGCACTGTTAATCGTATCTGCATACTTCCCTGAACCCTTTGGACTAACAGCCTCACGTGTTACCTGGCCCAGGCAAGTAGTTAGGCCGGGCGTGTTGGAGAAGGAAGAATTTCCGGCAGTGTTAGAAATTGACAGGGATGAATCATGGAGGAATTGCTCAGTCTGCTTGATCTGATGGGATATCCTTAGTTGACTGGGTTGCTATTTCCTGAAAGGAGATACTTGCTTTGAGAGTGTTATTCTGGGCAGTCTGTCCCACTTCTATTCACTGACGCCAGTCTGGATTGTGTCCACTGGGCAAGGGTTCAAGCAGGTCTGTCTAAACTACTAAAGTTCAGCACCCATTTGTTACGTTGCTACAGAGACAATCGATGTGTAGCTGTGCCATGGTCAGCATGTATTAGCCTGGGGGAAACTTCTGTTCCCGTTGAGTGCTGAATGGCTCACCTGGCAGTGAGGGCTACCATTTTCCTTTTGTACTGGCGGCAAATTCCATGCTGTTCACAATCTTAGACTGTAGCCAATTGTTAGTGAACCGCTAGTTTTGTAGGAGTACAAGGTATAGTACTGTACATCATGGTATTGTGCTGGAGGTTTACATATATGTATAGCCATGTGTAACATTGACATCAAGTTCTGTGGCGTTCTTGATCCTGGAGAGATACTCCAGATCCACCACCACCACCACCACCACCACCACCACCACCACCACCACCACCACCACCACCACCACCACCACCACCACCACCACCACCACCACCACCACCACCACCACCACCACCACCACCACCACCACCACCACCACCACCACCACCACCACCACCACCACCACCACCACCACCACCACCACCACCACCACCACCACCACCACCACCACCACCATCAACCACCACCACCACCACCATCAACCACCACCAAACCACCACCATCATCCGTGACCACGCCCATCATCCGTGACCACCACCATCATCACCACCACCACCACCACCACCACCACCACCACCACCACCACCACCACCACCACCACCACCACCACCACCACCACCACCACCACCACCACCACCACTTATTATGCGGTAGCTATCTGTTCTTTGCCGCCTGGTGCTGTGGTATAATATTTGTAAAGAATATACGAAATATGGATGGTAGATGGGAGAGAGTGCTCTTGTCATCAAGGTGTCCATGACTACGTATACTGGGGCAAGATTAAAATAGAACGATTTCTGTAAGGGAATGCACCCTATAGACTAGGGTGTGTAGCCTGTTGGACAGCATACTTGAGAGGTGCTCTAAACCATTGATGTTAGTATTTGCCCGGAGTGTTACCCAGGAAAGCAACACTTGAAAAAACAATATAGGCCATCAGGGATGTTGCCTTACTTCTATAATTGCTAATAGTCACAGTTAACTGGGCTGAGGATAAGTCCTGGGCTTGGCTTTGTTTCTCTATAGCCTGTTTCGCTCTTTAGTACATGTACTGAGTCTATACTTTGGGTTGGTCATCTGGCTGTAAAAACATCTACTTACACCAATTGAAGTCATTCCTTTTGTACAAATGGGCTTGGTAACGAAATTGATCACGAAAGGGCTCTGGATATGATTAGTTTTAAAAGCGGAAGGAGGGATGTGTGTAATTGGGAAACTCAGTTTCTTGGGCTCCACAAGCTTGTGTTACTTTAAATATGTTGGGAAAGGATCTCAGTATAGCTTTGCACAATTGTGTAAAATTATCCTCGCCATGGTTGGAGCAACTTTTGGCCATGGCGATATTCAGTTTGGAGCTTTCAATATGTTCATTTTCACTTCTTGTTTCTCCCAGATGACTCGCCCTATTTTACATCTAGCCTAGAATCAATTGTTGTTGCAAGACCGCATCTTGATGGATCCGTCCTCACGGAGCTGAATTGTGAGGTGGAGCCAGCAGACTCTGTTCTGGATGTCCGGTGGTACAAGGACGGCGTGTTTGTATCGGATGCAAACTCCTCTCTGCTCGAGGTTACTGAGACTGGAGTGTACCAGTGTCATGTGGACACTAACAGCAGCACTGCAGTACTGGTCAGCAAGAATGCCACCGTCACGTACTGTGAGTACCTCTGAGTAGACGCAGCGTTCTGTTGGCAATGCAGCTGCATGTGACAACAACACCTTTAAGACTAGTGCTACATGGACATGTACTTCTTCACATGTTCGTCCTTACTAACAGTAACACCATGCCTTCCTATCTGCCCGTGACGAATCAAAGCTGAGAAAGAGTGGTTTGTTGGCATGGCCTCTACTGATAATGTACAGGTCACTAACTGTGAAGAAGTGGTAGACGGGAATGTGTTTTCCCCGATTGTGCTTTCTGGAACATTGGGTCAGACTAATCACCATACCTGTGCCGATAAGTACTAGGTGCAACATGTTTGGGTATGCAGCACTGCTGGCGGTGTAAGCTCTATTCCTGCGAAGATGCAAACTCTTCTCATGAACCTCTTGCCTTATCCCCAGACTTGTGAACTTTGTACCGGCATAGTTAGCATGTGAAAGATAAAATAGGGTCAAAATTTCACAATTGCTGTTGATATCCTCACAGCCATTAGACTAAGGATTCATAATGATGAATCGTACAAAAATGTCTCCTTTTGCTCTGTCGTCACTCATCTGTTCCTTCAGATGATGTTGCCCGGTTTGCGGCAAGCCTTGTATCAGCTAGGGTACCAGTGCCTTTCATTCTCGGCAGCACACTGGCCAGATTGAATTGCTCAGTAACGCCTGAGGATGCAGTCCTCAATCGCCTGTGGTTCAAGGACAACGTGCTTCTTGCTACTGGCACCCCGGTGCTAAACGTAGAACAAGCTGGTGTGTACCGTTGCCATGTATTGACCACCGACGGTACTCTCAACAGTGACAATGCCACTATATCTTACATACCAATTGGTAAGTTGCACACTGTATCAAACTCATTGACGGTTATTTTGCACTGTATCAAACTCCTTGGGTTGTTTGCACTGTATCAAACTCAAAATGTGAAGAAGAGGTTGGTGCGACTTCGGCGATAGTAGGGGAAGAGTGTGTTGCTCCCTACATGGGAGCTCGCGATTTTCCTGCCGACTTGAATTCTCACTTGACTGACTAACGACTGCCATCCAGAGCACACGATGTTCAAGAGGTGTTTGTCGCGCTGGAAACGGAGCGTCTCTGTAAGTTTGTATCCCTGGTGATGTTTGTGCCTGGAGAGTATATAAGTGGTGCTCTTCAGGCACAATCTTCCTCAGCCTACTCAAGCTCAACTGATGAGGGGTGAATTCTCCGAAACACTGTGTATTGAGCAGGGAGTGGTGCTTTCTTGCAGGTTTGCCGAAGGGACGGTTCGATGGACTTCTCGTGTGCTCTTGATGGCAGTCGTGAGTCAGTCAAGTGAGAATTCAAGTCGGCGTGAAGATGGCGAGCTCCCATGTAGGGAGAACACACTCTTCCCCTGTGTCAAACTCACTGGGTTATTTGCACTGTATCAACTTCACCAAGCACAGCATACCAATGTATACACGGAGACAACACTGTGCATAGTTTGTAATCATGTGACATGAAAATAAGAACGGTCTAGGCTAGAAGGCTACACCCCAAGTTCTTCGATGACCGACAGTACTGTAGCATGAAATCCTGACTTGCTCTCTCTCTCTCTCTCTCTCTCTCTCTCTCTCTCTCTCTCTCTCTCTCTCTCTCTTTCTCTCTCGCTCTTGCTTTCACCCTGTAGATTCCAGCATAAGGTTTGATGTCAGTCCACAGTCTCTGGTGCTGGAAAAGCCATTTGTTGCACAGTCGGCCAGCCAGCCAACACTGACAACCCTTTCGTGTGTAGTCGAGCCTATGGATCAAGTATTGGGGACAGTGTGGTACGTGGACAATGTGCTAGATCCACTCAAGAAGGATTCCGACACGTTCCGTGTGATGAAGAATGGTACCTACAGCTGCCGTGTGTTGACCAAGGGTGGTGTGCTGGTCAGTGATGATGCTGTCATATCCTACTTAGATACGAGTAAGTCAAGCTTTGTGTTGGTGCATGGGACTACTTATAACTGCTAAAGACATACCCTATACATGTATAGATTATTCACGGTGTGCACTCTACCATAGCTTCTGATTGGTCATGCTATTACCTCGGTTAGCCTAGTAGTAGATTTTAGTAAACTTCAACGCAGGGGCAGAGTGGCTCGTGACGTTGTATTTGTTCCCATCCTACTTTTGTACCATATACGTATTGTTTCAACATCTTGAATATGTATTGTGTTGCTGGAAAATCCTTCAGCATGTGTGCACTTGTGTGTGTGTGTGTGTGTGTTTGTGTGTTTGTGTGTTTGTGTGTGTGTGTGTGTGTGTGTGTGTGTGTGTGTGTGTGTGTGTGTGTGTGTGTGTGTGTGTGTGCACATGTGATTGGACCATGTCCTGTGCACAGATGTAGTACCCTATTTCACATCCAGTCCACGATCAGCTGTTGTGAAGAAGCCCCACAGAGTTGGGCCCATCATTAGTCAATTAAGCTGCCAAGTAGAGCCGCAGCATATGGTTATCAGAGTTCGCTGGTACAAAGATGACAAGCTACTGGCTGCTGTGGATACAAATTCATCATTGAATGTTGTGGAAAATGGGACGTACCATTGCCGAGTTGAAACTAAGCATGGTACTATCCGCAGCTTCCCAGCTGTGATTTCTTATGCTGATCCAGGTGAGAATACGTTTTCTGTTATGTGCATGACATCTCTATAAATAGATATCCCTTCCCGAAGCTATTTACTGAGTCAAGAAACTTTATCTTGCAAGGTAGGCAGTAGGCCAACACAGTTCCCTGGTATCTCTTGATTAATTCCTTGCCTTGTGTTACGCGAATCTTACCACAATGATGTGTTACACATATCATCCCATGATGACGTGTTGCACAAGTCTTGGCATGACAATGGCTTGCCTTCTGCCTACCTATGTTTACTGTTTGTGCACTCTAGTTGTCACCATATCCATCCTGAACACCCGGGGCACTGCTTTTCTACGCTGCGTGGATGGCCAAGGGCGGACAGTTGCGGACACGGATGACTACAAGGTTGTCTGGAAAAGAAAAGCTGTGATGGAGCATGGCATGCGTGTGGTCAATGATCGCAAGCACCGTGTGTTCCCGCAGACAGGCCTGCTGCAGGTGAGTTGGCTGCATGCTCCTTGACACGCCATGGCCTGCAATGGCAAGCAGACCCATGCACTGGGGCATGACCTTATTTGTCGCGTCGCTGTTGGCACTGATTTGGCATCTACTGGATATATCTGCAGGAGTCTATTAGTAGTTTCTGCGGTCGTTGTCAACCCGGTGGGAAGATGATCTATTTCTGTGATCTACCCAGGGGGGTTGCTGCTGCTATTACTGTAGCAGCAGTGACAGATGATCTGTTAGTGTACTGGTTTTGCTATGGCTGACAGGGTGAGCACCTCATGATCCAGGCTGGTTCTCAGGCTCTTGATTTTCCCTTGAGGGGCAGCCCCCTGTTCACACGTACCAACTTACCGCCTGGTGACCCTCAACCCGAGAGGTGTTGCATTCTCAGACCATATTTGGCTTTTTGGAATTATTTCCTAGTCTAGGAGGGTCTTGCCTGTAATGTGTGAATTGTCCATCCTTGGTATGGGTCAGGTCTATTCTTAGACTCAAAATACACCAGACTGTCACCATGGGAGGACGGGTGGAATCAGTTTTTGATTGGTCAAGCCAGACGATAATCTTCCATACTTTGTTTATGATAATATCATGGCGGCGGTTACACTTGACCTCAACTATAAACACACTATGAGGGGGGGGGGGGGGGGGGGGTTCAGCGATGACCTGACCAACCGGACCGGTTCCGTCGGACCTGCGTGGTCTAGCATGTTGTAGGATTGGGTCCATTGTTCTAACTACCGTACTTTCAGGAGTACAAGCCACACTAGAGTATAAGCCACACTGGAGTATAAGCCACACTGGAGTATAAGCCACACTGGAGTATAAGCCACACTGGAGTATAAGCCACACTGGAGTATAAGCCACACTAGAGTATAAGCCGCACTAGAGTATAAGCCGCACTGGAGTATAAGCCACACTGGAGTATAAGCCGCACTAGAGTATAAGCCGCACCCAGATTTTCTGTGACTAAAATGCAGACATCTACATTGTATTTCCCGGTTCAGGTGACCGTCGTAGTAAAAGCCGCACTGACCTTTTTTGGCTGAACTACGAGTGTTTTAAAGTGAGGCTTATACTCCAGAAATACGTCATGTTGCTAGTAATTCACCCATGATCTTGATACTGAAGTATGTACATGCAGACTATCCGGCGGCGTACCCTGCATACAATGTGACCATTGCCGTTCAACTATTCTGACTTTTCTCATTCAGATTCGGAATGTTGGACCCTTAGACTCGGGTGAGTTCCGCTGCATTCGCTCCTTCTCCAGCACAAGCCACATCCACAGCAGCTGGACGAGAATTGAATTTCAAGAGCTCAGTGGTAAGGCGGCATGGACTTGAGGAATAGAGGCTATAGTGTCTGTCAAGATATGATCACCATCAGTTGTTGTCCTTGTAACTCTGTGGTCCTTTCTTGTTGTAATGAACGATGCTTTTCAGATTGCTTACTGTATGTACTGGCATGGTGTGGATTGCACTATCAAAGTCAATCTTTTTAAAGCTGTACGAGATCGTATTGACTTATGTTATGGTGTACTGTTCCCAATTTGTGCGTGTATATCCTAGGCACAACTCCTGATGTAGTTAGTGGAACAGTACATGTCGAGGCTGTGGAGGGCAGCACGGCACGGTTTGAGTGTCTGGTTGCTTTGCCGAAGAACGTTCCTGAGCAGAGCGTCAGCTGGAAGCATATGGGCTACGATGTTGACGACGTTCTAACGCAACAAGTCTCTACTCATCTGCTGCTCTCACACGTGATGGAAGAGGCGAAGGGCCAGTATTCGTGCTACTATAACGGGACTGTAC